CTTCTATTGTATTGTTTTCATTGTTAGTATTTTGTGTCTAGGATGTGGTTAAGTGTTGGATATGAAGTGTTTCATGCTTAAACTCAGATCATATAACACTTGGACAGGTATAGTGGATGAAAATGAAAGAAAAAGCATGCAGGGACTAGCATCTAATGCCTTAATTTACATTCTTTATAGAAGTGCATGTGTTACATTGTGTAGTTATGATCCTTTAATGTGAGTATTAATATTTCCATGCTACAGCTGCCTGCAAGAGAAAGGGAGTTGAGGAGAGGGTGATTAACGATTACTAGAGGAAAAGGGCTAGGGGAGCCATCTAGTTCAGGTTAGACCAAGATGGACAATTTTGAGTTTGTACTTAATATGCCATGACCTAGGGATTCTGATATATCTTATATTATGATGTTATGTAAGTAATAGAAGAGTTGAATTGCATGAATTGGTGCTAGAAGTGAGTTGAGAATGCTTAAGCAAACATATCATTGTTGGACTTGTTACAGTTGGGTTGCCTGAAATTCAGCTTCTGTAATTGACCTATTTGACTAAGCTAATTGACCTATTATCGCAGTTGGCCAATTGATACCTATAGTATGAGGGGTGGCCATGACTGAATGATTTTAGTTGTGTTTGCGAAATGAAATGTTGCCCACTGTGATTTTAATATTATTACATGAATCTTACAGCTGATATAGACATGGTTCTTACCCCGAATATCACTTCATTTGTTGAAGGTGATATTAAGATCGATTGAACATGGATATCATCACTAGATGATATATGATTGATATGAAATTCTCCCTCCATGTTGAGGTTGTAGATTGCTCCCTCTTCTCTTTCTGTTGAAATCATATCACAGATTGAAGGTTGTAGATAGCAGGTCTAGATGTGCAAACAATTAGACACTGATGGCCCTCAGAAATTGACCTCTATAAAAGCTGTAAAGACCCATATTTATGAATGCATTGGATTTAAATGGTATGTGATTTTATTTTGTTTCTTATTCCTTTACCATGGTGGATTTATGGAAATTGTCATTTCCTTATTATTTTTATTTAGCTACACCACTAAGCATATGCTTAGCGATTAGTTGGCTTTCTGTACTATCGCAGGTAAAGAAAAAGGAAAAAAGACAGGTAAAGAAAAGGAAAAAGAACCAAGAGAGGATCATTTTTATTTGATGTAGATAGTATGCTACTGATGTAGCTATTGTATATTTGACTTCTTTTAGAATATGTATGATGTATTAAACATTAACAGATCATCTATGTATATTTGAGCAGATTCATGTGAATTATGATTGTATGAATTTGAAAATTTATAGTCTATTAAGTAATTAATTTCTATTATGTATCTAAGATTTGAACAGAACTCCAATATGTAATTAAATCATCTATGGACTTATGGGTTATGGAACCATTTTATGTTTTTAATAATATGTTTAAGAAATTATATTGAGATTACTAGTTAGTAAATTATAGACATTTCTTTATGTTTAGTAAATTACGGAAGAAAAGACATTTCTTTATAATAGATGAAAGAACCAAAAAGAGTTTTACATTTAATAATTAAATCTACTTTTCTACAAGATATAAATGAATGAATCAACAGTATTTGTAGTATACTTAGTAAGCATTTATAAGAATTAAGTGCTTATTAATTATATTACGGGCGACATGCCATGTCTTACAGTAGGGTAAGGTGTGACACTCTTTCCCCCCTCTCCCATCCTATTTTCGGCCACCGCTCGACGAGAGCGAGGTGGCGGTCAGTTCGTCTGGTGCTGGTGGCCGTGTTTCCAGTCTCCTCTCACGCGGAAAGAGCTTCAGTTGAAGCGAAATGGAGTTGTTCTCCTTGACAGCCCACGTTCACCAATTTCCGACGATCCACGCCTTTTCCGGCAGCTTGAGGTCACGGGACATGCTTCGATCGACTCCTCTCTTCCCTGCGAGTCTCTTTCTCCCATCAGTTCTGGCGACAAAGCTCGCCTGATTGAGACGCCATGAACGGCGGTGGCGAAGTCACTTTGTCGCGACCCGTTTCCATGGACCTGACCGGCACTAAGGCCCAAGTAAGTTTATGGCCCCCGAGGCCCGTAGTAAGCCTAAAAAATCAATTTGATTCGAATTGGTTTGGTCTAATTCAATGATTGGGCTCGATTATTATTCGATTTGCAGGTTTTTCACTTGGTTTTCAGGTTATTCGTGTGATTTTTGAAAAATGAATTTGATTTCTGGGTCCAGTTCAATTTATTTTGATTATTTTAGTTAGGTTCCGTAACATTTCCTCCATTCACTCAATAATAATAAAAATATTAAGAGTAATGATATTTGATTTTAGGATAATTAATTTATATATATTCATAATAGATTAATTGCTGGAGTTTCATATTATTTCTCGAAAATTTTAATTGTTCTCAACATATTATTTCTAATAGATTAATTGCTGGAGTTTCATATTATTTCTCGAAAATTTTAATTGTTCTCAAATCGAAAATTCCGACAATATATTTGGGCTTGGCCCCAACTAGCAAAACTTTGGACTCAAATTAAGATTGTTTGGTATTTACAGCCCATATAGTTAAAAATCGAGATTTTGATTTAATAAAAATTCAGGGTATTTCAATTAATTATAAAAACCATTGGATAATAATACTGCAAGATCAAATATAGAATATAAATATACATATTTCTCGAATTAAATTCATAAAAATATAATTAAAATGATATTCAAAATGATAAATAGAATTTATTTTCCCAACTTAAAAGGCATAAAACAAACATAACTAAAAGGATTTTCAGAAAGATAAATGAACCTATTTTCTCCAGTTAGAATGCATTAAAAATCCAACTAAAAGGATATATTAGAAATTTAAAATTAAACTAAAGCTAGTATAGAAAATCTCATTATTCCACATATTTCCATATTTATATATAGTATAGCCTGTAGATATAAATTATAGATATCACTCTATTCTCCTTTTTTTTTTTCAAAATTCAAAGGAAACAAATTGAGGTACGAATTAAAAAAATTTGATTGCTCAACTTTTATAATGTTTAATCAATAAATTGTATTAACGCTTTATTTTTCATTTTTATTTTTTTAAATAAAAATTTATCTAATATTTTTAAGTTTAAAAGTACTATAATTTCATACTTCTTTTGTTAAATTAAAATTATAAAAAATTTTAAAATACAATGTGTAAATAATCTAAATACGTGTAATTAAAGAGAAAGATATATTTAAAAAATTTTATTTTAATTTCTTTGTATTTAACTAATAGACTCTAATAGTAATTATTTAACCATATTTTAAAAAAATTCGAAACATAATAAATAAGAAGAATTTGAGTTTTATTTTCAATACTTAAATTAAAGTTTTCGATTTACCTCATAGAAAGCAATATCACGTGAGAACTTATAATTAAGAACATCAAAATCCATTAATTGTAAAAGTCATTGGACAACAATACTGCAATATCAAATAGAATATAAATATACATATTTCTGAAATTAAAATGCATAAAAATATAATTAAAAGGATATTCAAAAGGATAAGTGAAATCTATTTTATCAACTTAAAAGACATAAATCAAATATAACTAAAAGAATTTTCAAAAGGATAAATGAACATATTTTCTCCTATTAGAATGCATTAAAAATCTAACTTAAAAGATATATTAAGAACTTCAAATTAAACTAAGATAGTATAGAAAATCTCATTATTTTCTCCATTCCCATATTTATATATAGTATAGATAGATATAATAATGATGATAGTCAATTTGTACTTTAATGGAGGACAATTGGCTCTAATGTTTCTTTTTCTTATTTTTTTTAAAGACTATCAGATTATTTCTAGAAAATAAATTATGTTATTCGAAAATATTTTTCATGGAAATCATTATATTTTTCAAATGACTTATCTTTTATTATTTGGTTGTAATATTGAAAATTAGTTAAAAATATTAGAATTTTTAACTCATAATAATAATAATAATATAAATTTCATATTTTATTCATAATAATAATAATAATATAAAATTTCATAGTTATAATAATAATAATAATATAAATTTCATATTTTAAAAGTTTTATTGTTAAATACGAGAATAATGCGAAAAAAATGGTAAATTATGAAAGTCGCCAGTGACCCTTTAGTAGTGGCCGAGATGGCCAGTGGTGGTGGCTAGTGGTGAACAATGAGTAGTAGCAGTGGCTACCGATGATTAATAAATTAAAAAAAAATGGATTTATAAGATTGTAATAAATTTATCAAAATTTAAAAAATGTTTTACGCTCTTGAAAATAGAAAGTCATTTTCCTTAAAAATGACTTAATTTTTCTTTGACCAAGAAAATATTTTTTCTTGACTTATTTTTTTGAATGTTCCAAACTACAGTAAATTGTGAAAAAATATTTTCCTACGAGTTATTTTTACGAAAACAAATAAAGTCTAAATAAATATTATTGTCTTTTATCACTTGAAGGTCGGATGGTCTCTCTATTTTGCTTTTTCTATATATTTTTCCTATTTTCCTACAAAAATTTCACTCTTCAAAATTTCCTTGTGAAATTCCACATAAATATAGAAAATAAAATATCCATACTAAAGAGCCCAGCGCAATTAGCATTCCACATATTGTGGGTTTGGGAAAAGACTTAATTAACCTGTGTATACAGATTTACTTATATACCAAATTAATTATTAATAATAATTTTGGTTCAAACAAATCAATACTCTTCTGCCTTATCGAGGCCGACAGTTTAATATAACTCTTATTTGATTGTCTTAGCGTAGATAAATATTTTCATTGTGGTTTTTTCCTATTGGTGGGCCTACCGACGCTAATCTAAATTAACCACTAGAGGATTTTTTATTTCCAAAAAAAAAAAAAAAAGCCCAATAAGCATTCTATGTAAAGAACCTTCTTTCTATCTTTCGGGCGGGGGTTTGAACCAGTATTATCCTTTTTTTTTTTTTTTGGAATATTTAGTAATATTTCTTTTTTTTTTTTTTTGGAGAAATATTAGTAATATTATTCAGTATTATTCTAATTGTAATTGAATTAGTTTGATTTGTGTAAAAGAAAAAAAAAAAAAAAAGTCTGCGTTATATTCTCCTTTACTTTTCCAATCAGACCAGACGAACCTCAAGCAATCAGTCATGGCGTCTCACCTCCTCAGACGTTTTACTCAGATCCTCTCTTCCGCCAACCCAGCTGGATCCAACTCCGTTAGGGCTTTCTCTCCCGCTGCGACTCCTATCACCGCTACACTCTTCCCCGGCGATGGTATTGGTCCAGAAATCGCCGAATCCGTCAAACAGGTCTCTCTTTCCTCTCTCCACTTTTAAATTCTTATTGAGATGTGTGTAGAAAACTCAAATCCTAATTTTAATTTTCATTAATTTCCAATTTAACTATCTACGAATTATATGTTTGGCTGCATAGCAATCACTTGGTACGACAAGTGCAATTGCCATTCTTCTTTCTTCTAGATATCTAAACAGCAAGGGAAAGGGAATGGAATAGTTACAGTTACACTGCAATAATTCCTGTACTCATCTCAAATTAATTTCAGAATGATATATATCATACCAATTTTTTTTTATTGTCTGTCTAGATTATATGTTTTGATAATTTGTCGTAAAATAAATCTAATTTTATGATGCCATTCATGATTTTATTGTCATAATATAAATCTGGTTCATGAAGTAATAATTTTTCCCTTAAAGAATATTGTAAAATAATATTAATAATCATTTTAATTTAATATCTATATGTTTATATTTAAAGATATGTTATTTAATTTAATAATATTTAAAAATATTGTATATTGAAGTTAGCATGTGGAGGCAAACCAACTAATTAGAATGCAGCTAACAAAATAATTCCAAACTGTACATTATTTTTCAATCTGTCATGGAAATTATTAAAGAGAGTCAATTTTCACCTGGTTGTGAGTTTTCCATTTTTACCACATTGGGCTTTGGTTTGTGAAATTAGTTATGTTTGTTATATAATAATAATAATAATAATAATAATAATAATAATAATAATAATAATAATAATAATAATAATTCCCAAAAATTACTGTTTCCATATATATAACAGATCAAAACTCTGGCGCTAAGTGCTCTTGAAGTGAAGTTTATTTTTCCATTTTTATTAAAATTTGACCAAAAAAAAAAAAAAAATTATAAAATTGACCAAAAAAAAAAAAAAAAGACAAGTAAAATACAGCCTGATTATATTAAAAAGTGTTATCAGTCCTTCACGTCCAGTTGATGTTTTAAAGAGCAAAAAAAAAAAAAAAAGAAAGTAAATACAGCCTGATTATATTAAAAGTTGGGTATCATCCTCACGTCCAGTTGATGTTTAAAGAGCTATGTAGGCATCCAAGGTGTTGAATTTTATCAGTTCAAGCAAGCTTCTTTGTTTTTATTTTCATGTTTGAAATAAATAGGTTAAGAAATTGTTCTTTACAATATCTGGTAAAATTAGGACTTTATTGCAGTCTTCATTTGTTGACCATCTTCTCAAGTATGTGTTGAGGATGCCTGTAATATTTGACACACAAGCCTGCACAATGGAGCTTTTGTAATTCTGGTGCAGAGACCGACTATGAAAACTGTAGCTTAATCAATTAAGCGGAGCACCTCAATTGAGGAGGCCATCATCAATTAAATAACATTTGCGAATTTGGAAATCAGTATCCTGTAATATGCGGTCATTTAGTTGCAGGAATATTTTTGATAAGAACTAGGACATAGTTTTTGCAATCAGATATTGATGGGTATGGTTTCTGTGGCTAATTAATTTAGGACTATGGGCAAACATATATTCCTGCATTTTGTTACCAGAGGTAATATGTTGGCATGTGATTATAACTTTTCATTTTTCCCTATAGTTGTGTACAGCTTTATTTCATATACTTCTAATTCTATGGCTATATATTATTATTTTAATGGTGACAGGTATTTAGAGCAGCTGAGGTTCCAATTGTGTGGGAAGAGCACTATGTCGGGACGGAAATAGATCCTAGAACTGAAAGTTTTCTAACATGGGAAAGTTTGGAGTCAGTTCGAAGAAATAAAGTAGGCTTGAAAGGGCCGATGGCCACACCAATTGGAAAAGGTCATCGTTCTTTGAATTTGACTCTCAGGAAAGAACTTAATTTGTATGCCAATGTCAGGCCTTGCTACAGCCTTCCAGGATATAAAACTCGCTATGATGATGTGAATCTTATCACCATCCGTGAAAATACAGAAGGGGAATACAGTGGTCTTGAACATCAAGTAAGTCTTTTTCTGCGGAGTGCTGATGCGTAATAACAAATTTCAGAGGTTTAATATTAGGCTGTTTAATCTTGACGCTAGGTGGTGAGAGGTGTTGTAGAAAGTCTCAAAATCATTACTCGCCAGGCAAGTTTGAGGGTGGCTGAATACGCTTTTCATTATGCGAAGGCCCATGGTCGAGAGAGAGTATCTGCAATACACAAGGCAAACATTATGCAGAAAACTGATGGTCTGTTTCTTAAGGTATCGCTTTAAATCCTTTTGACTTGAAAGGTACATTGCATATTTATCAAAATTTCTTCAAATTAAGTTGCTTAATTCATTTGTAGTGCTGCCGTGAGGTTGCAGAGAAGTACCCTGAGATAAAATACGAGGAAGTTGTTATTGACAACTGCTGTATGATGGTATGTGAATCTCTTTCTTTGAATATCTCTGTATTTAGCTTTTGTTTGGGAAAAAAGTAGGAGGGTAAAAAAAAGGAGGGAGAGAAAAGGAAGAGGGAAGGGGTAGAAATAATTTATTTTTTGTTTGGGAAGAGAAGAAAAATAGGAGGAAGCAGAAGAGAAGTGAGAGGTAAATATTTTATTTATTCAAATTACTCTGATCTCCATCACTTTTTTCCAGTGAAATCTTAATTTTGAAGATAAATTAGTAAAATGCAATGAGTTTCGCCATATTTTCACCTGAAAAATGTAGACCATAAAGCACTCTTCATTTTCTCCTCCTCTATCCCTTCATTCTTACCCGCTCCATTTCTCTCTCTCTCTCTCTCTTTTCAATTTTCACACCCACCCAGAGAGAGAGAGAGAGATAGAGAGGATCCAATTACATGCGTAAAACTTCTAGTTTTACACATTTTTTTAACCGTTGATCTAAATAGAGAGAGAGAGAGAGAGAGAGAGAGGGAGAGAGAGAGAGAATCCAATTACGTGTAAAACTTTTAGTTATACACATTTCTTCAACCATTGATCTCGATAAGATCTAATGATTTCTAATATTATTTCTGTCTCTTATTTACACCACCATTAATTATATATAGTATCTCTAATTAATTGTGGTATCTCTTATTTACCAATACTCTCTCTCATGATGGCTTTATATCCATGATCACCATAACCACATTTTAAGGTAAAATAAAAATTGGGAATATACAAAAGGACCATTAAAAAAAGAAAAGAAAAGACATAGAACATCAAACAGAAATTCCAGTAACTTGATATTTTCTTTGCTCTTCTTGCTTTTTATTGCCTTTTATATGCTTGAGCCTTCTAAGCCCTATTACTAATGAATCTTATTTCTTTCTTAGATGAATGTTTATTTTTGTTTTTTACATATATGTAATATTTCTTTTTCCAAAACTATAATATTTTGTATTTAATTGTTTGTACACATTGCACCTTCAAAGTTTCAATGTAAATAATACTTAATAATTAATAAAAGTTGACTCTTGGTTTCATAAATTTTTCATGTTGCAAGTCATGATATCACTTCCTCTGCAACGATTAATCAAAAGCCATAAAATAACTTCAATTAGACACACTCATACATTGAAAGCATAACATTTTGTTTTGCTATGAGTTGTTGCAGAAGCACACGTTGAGAATGAAAAATGGTGGGTTTGGATATGCAGCATAATAAGCCTATGATGGCTCAGTAAATGTGCTGGATCCCAATTCTGTTTGGTTATATGAATTGGTTGCGTAAACAATTATAACTGTGTATTTGTTGCTTTTGACACTGGAAAGGCATTACACTTCAGAAAGTTAGGCTGTTAGGTTATGTACTGAACTTTCTTTATATATGGAGTTGAGTTCTGAGAATTATTTTGCAAAAGGGATATCCTACCTTTAAAGACATTACAAATACTGATGATATTTCAAAATGATGTGGGTTCCATAATGGTCCTAATCAGGCATTACTTGATCTTGATGCATAAGCATATGATAGTTTAGTGAAAAAAATAAAAAAAAAAACTAGGAAAAAGAACGAGTTTAATACATTGTTTGGCAGGTTGTCATTTTATGATGTCAATTAATGTTCCTAATTTTTTTGATATTTATTATTATTATTATTATCATCATTGTAGTTGTTGAGTTGCGATTTTTTGAGATCTTTTTGTTAGCAAGTCTGTGAGATACAGCATGTAACTTTGCAAATTTATGTGATTTTTTTTATGTTTTTCTTGTGCAATTTTTTTTTGTCTTTTTATTCCCTTTTAAATCTTTTATTTTTTAAATTAGAGGTTTTACATGTGTAATCAGGTCCTATTTCATAATATATATAGTTCCTATTTCCATAAAATATATATATATATATATATATGTATATAATATATATAATATATATATTATACCCTTTTCATATACCCTTTTCCCCAAGAGGGAAAAAAAGAGAGAATGATACATCTGACTATTTATTTCTTTGTACAGCTTGTAAAGAATCCAGCACTTTTTGATGTATTGGTGATGCCTAACCTCTATGGTGACATTATCAGTGACCTCTGTGCAGGATTGATCGGTGGTTTGGGCTTGACACCAAGGTACCTGAAGATCTTCTTTCATTATCTCTAGTATATATCTGGCATAGTAAATAAAGGCACAAGGGGCTGTTGGAGCCTAGGTGCTAGCCTCCAGGCAAAGCGCACGCCTGAGTGAAGTCAGGCGCAAAAAAAAAAAAAAAAAAAAAAAAAACCTGAAAATTATTTATTTTGAGATAATTTAAAAAAATAGGAAAAAAAAAAAAACAGTGGAGGAAATTATAAAACAATGAAATGAAACACACAAATCAGTAAAATGGTACCATGGACAAATAATAATTTAAAAATAAGAGTTAGATAAAGAGAACAAAGAAATCAAGAAAATGAAAAAAAAAAAAAAAATAGATAAAAAAAAAAAAAAAAAACAGTGGGAGGAAATTATAAAAACATGGAATGAAACACACAAATCAGTAAAAAAATGGTACCATGACAAATAATATTTTAAAAATAAGAGTTAAGATAAAGAGAGTAAAATCAAGAAAATGAAAAAAAAAAAAAAAATAGGAAGAGAAATTGAGAGGGGCATATCTCGATTGTTGTTGGCTAAAGACTAGATTGCCAGAGGTGAATGCTAGATGAAGGAGTGGAGGCTGGATTTTAAAGCACATTACTGGCTTTGGTGTTGCATTTTATTTCTTCTATTCACGTCTTTATTTTATTTAAGCAGATTCTGCTAGACAGCTTTATTTTGAAAGAAAACTCTAGGTGACTTGTCTAGGAAAATAAAAAATAGAAACGAGCGCCTTTCTTGAGCGTTAAGTGCCAAAAAGGCGCAAAAAGGTGCACACCTCTAGCCACGGGCTATGGCCCGAATGAAGTTGCCCGCCTGAGGACTGTTGAGGCGCAAGCCGTTGAGCCTTAAGTAAGGCGCACCTGAGGCATGCCTGAGGCGCCCCTGAGGCATGCCTGAGGCGCGCCTTTAAGAACTATGATATCTGACAGCTTTTACATCCCTTTCAGCTGCAATATTGGTGAAGGGGGCATTGCTCTTGCAGAAGCTGTACATGGTTCAGCACCTGATATTGCTGGGAAGGTTAGCATTAATTGTTTTTCTGCATTTTTCTTTTCACTAGTCACAATCTCTCGCTATAAAATTTTGCAATACGTTTTTACTAAGCGCACTTGCTTTATGATCTTGTTAATGGTAATACTATATTAAGAAACCTGTTGATAGTGTTGAAGGTATTACCAACCAAGAAGAATTTTCACAACTCTTTGTTTGATGAAGGTCCCTTATAATTAATTTATTGTCCTAGATTTTGGTAATCCAATACTAGGCTCTGTCAAGAAGTTCCATTTTTCAATGCGTCAGCAACTCCTTTCATATGGGTAGAGGGACTTGGGGGAAGCGTTTGAAGTTTTGGTCATATCCTATGGCTGGTGGGACTTGGGGTATGCCCTTCTAAGGACCTAGAAAAGGATTAATTATTTGGAAATTCTTGTTTGAAACTGCAGAAATTTCTTATGGTGGATTGATGGCCTGTCTGAGTACAAAATTGATGAGCTGGATAGTCAATAACTCTCAACTAGTTTAATCAGTTACATTTTTCTCTAGTTTGTTAGGCTGTCAATCTAGATATGAAGTATGATAGAGCATAGACTATAACAGATTTTTCTCGCTTAATTACTTATCATATGTCAATACTTTGTCTCTTATTTTTCCTATACTTCCTTCTTTTTCTCACGTCCCAACACCAATATCAGCACTAGTGAGCTCTAATGAGCTTAGTTACTTTGCATTTCTCTTTTATGATGATCAAATTCTTGTAGCATTAACCAACAGCAATTCCCATGGTTAATAAGGACTATAATGATGTCCTAAACATAATTGAGGAACTGGCTTTGTCTGTTGTTGTAGTCAGAAGGCTGTGGAGATCTATTTTGTTGTTGTAGTCTGAAGTTTTTTCTAATAGAGCTTTTTTGTTTTTTTCTTAGTATTTGTTTGTCAACATGGTATACTAACTTTTGCGGTTGTATGTCAGAATATGGCAAATCCCACTGCCTTACTGTTAAGTGCTGTCACTATGTTGCGCCATTTAGAGCTCCATGACAAGGCTGACAGGATTCAGAATGCTATCCTTAAAACAATTGCTGAGGGGAAGTATAGAACTGCCGACCTTGGTGGCAAATCTTCTACAACTGATTTTACGAAGGCAATATGTGATCACCTTTAAAAATTCCTTGATAGAATTTTGATTTGCATTGTTTCCAGCAAAATGGTTCACCTTTCTTTTGCGAGCCATATTTTGAAACCTGTTTTAGTTGTTTCCCAAACGGAATAAGACCGCATCACTGTGATGGTTGTAAAGAAGCTCGTAGGATTGCCCCTCTAAACAGAGGAGCTGAACGGCATTAAATAGTAGCTTGTTCTGCATGCTCTGGCCTATTTCAACATCTCAAAATGAAAAAATGATTGGATTCCTTTGGAGGATAATTTTCCATGCTGCAAGTTTTTTCAGGAGAATATTGTTGTCCGAATAACAAGAAATGAGGGTATACTTTATAATTTGGTTTTTATTTCACTTTTATCCCTATTCTTCTATATTTCAAGCATAAATTATTTCACTGTATTTCAGATAGATGAAGAACTACGTTTACTCTCTATTTAACTGTATCGCCATCGAAATGAAATAGGCTCTTTTCTTCTTTTTGATGCTCAGTAATTAGTAGTGTGAAGGCAGACAGAGGAAAACTTCTTGCTTGATCTTGTATTGCTTGCAAGTATAATACCCTTGAAACAATTAATAGCTGTAGTGATAATGACTTTAATACCTATGTTAGTGAAAGCTCATTTGTTAAGTATCTCGATGTCCTTGCAATTATAATCATTAAGATGAACCATTTGATAGTTCTGATTTATCATTAAGTTAGCTACGGTCATTGTTAGAGGGTGTAAACGAGTTGAGCCGAACTCAAATTTGGTAGGCTTGAAAATCAACGAGCTTGAATATTGTTAGGTTTGAGCTCGAGTTGAACTCAAAATTTTGAGCTCGGACTTGGTTTGAAGTTCGAGGCTCGAGTAAGTCTAAAATATATAGATATATATATATATAAGCTCGACAAGGCTCGATAAGACTCGACGAGTTTTCGAGATGAATACCTTTAGGCTCGAGCTTGATTCAAATTGAACTTTTTTGAACACCATTAAGCTCAAGTTTGATTCAAACTGAAGTTTTTCGAACTTTTTTCGAGCGGAGTTCGAATAGCTCGTGAGCTCGGCTCATTTAGACCTTTAGTCATCATTCATGCTTTGGTTGTGTTCTCATATTCGTTACTGTGTACCAAGGGTGGTTGTAAGTGAGAATCCCATCTCAATAAGAGAGCTGAGGAGGATTTTGTTGGCTGCAATCCACTTTTTCTTCTTTTTCGAAACAAATAATTCCTTTACATGGTAGTACAGAAGAGAAGATCATCATTTGGTGATGACTTACAATAAATAATCAAAGAATGGTACATTATTTGTATGTTGTGATGGACAGTTTTGAACATCTAGAGCATCCAGTATACGCGCCGCTGGATTTACTCTCGGATTTGGAGGGATTACTTTCAAGTGAGTTCAGATTCAATCACCCAAAGATTTCAAATGAACTATTGGGTTGGTGTTATGGAGGATTTTAAAGAGAGATTACTATTTCAAAGAATTAATTTAAAATTCAAGAAATGAATTTTAAATTTTTTATTAATTTCAATCGGATGAAGTTAATCGATCCCCAATTTTTTTGAGCCAATCGAGATGAGAATTCAAATGGGTTACTGGCATATCTGGATTGGATTAGAAATTTCAGGCTCTAATTAGAAATACAAAGTGTGCTATCTGCTTGACTTGCCAAAGCACACGTTCAGACTGAAGAAGTGTTTGTGCGCAAATTTTGCTTGTACACAGTTACTCAGGAAATTTGGAATGAGCTGCTCCATTTAACTGTGAAGGTGTTCATATTTCCTTTCTTTTCTTTTGTTCTATTAAGTATTCCCAGTTTTTTCACAGGCCTAGGAACCCTGAGAAATGATAGAATTTTACTGTTTTTGTAAATGTAAATGGAATTTTCTGAAATTCATTGTTTTCCAAGCTAAGTTACGCGTTCTTTACATCAATTGTTTTATCTACCATTAGTTGCCTCAGTTTGTTTTCAATTTCCATCTCACTATATATATAAAAACATCATACTCGGTCCAGAGCAGCAACTGCTTTAAAAAAGGAAGATAAAACCTGACTAGCAAGAAATAAAGGAAAACATCAAAGAGCATTACTTTTTGTCCAAAATAGAAACATGAGAGAAACTGACACTCGCATGAATCTGAAAGAATGATTTAGAAGGGAATAGCAAGAAGCTTACAACGCATTATCATCATCTCTCAACAACATTGACCAAACCTCTCACAAAACCGAAAGAAAGATAATCACACTAGACAAAAAAATGACAACAAAAGATCATTACATCTACAATATACGGCAAAAATTCACTTGCGACACGTGCTAGGCAGCTGAATTTCATGGAAATGGCTTCTGCATCTAATTAAAGCCGTCTAGAAAATGAAACCAATCCTACATATTCACGCTGGCACCACATCCATGACGAACCACGTTTTTACATACAAATCAAAAATTAAAAAAAGCTAAAGAGGTAAGATGTCCGCTACTCTGTCTTGTGCATCTACAGGCATTTCCCTTCCTGGGACGTTGATCTTTAAAAGATTCCCGAACCTGTAAAAACAAGTAATGGGTTATTCAATAAAAATATTAATTTGCATTCCGACCAAAATAAAACGACAAGTCATAGCAACCCACTCTGTTGGTGTAAACATGTTCTCATGCTCTGTGATGAAAGCAAGCAAGGCCTGCATTCGACCAAGATAATATTGAATTTAGTATTTGCAGTACAAAGGTTTATTAATAGAAACAAACTATGGTTCAGCTGACTTGCCTCAAATGGCATATTTAATAGTTCATAATAGGTTCGGACATGATCTAATCTTTGCTGTACAAATTCACTATCAATTGATGGAATAGCTGCGAGGGCCTGTAGTGACAATATTGCAAGGAATTCATATCAAAATTGGCAAGTTGTATTTTAAACACAAGTCAACTTTAGAGATGACGACCATCTCCTGGTATAGAATCAATTCCCAACAGGGGTTCTCAACTGCATAAGATACAAAAGTTCACCTGTTCTAATGCAATTGAATTTCGACATATCTGTTGCACCCCAAAAAGGTTAATTGATTTCATGTCAGCCAAAGCCTAACAAGACAATATTATTTCCAATATTAGTGCACAAGGGAACAAGTATTGAATAAGGGGGATCACATCTAAAATTTTCAGGAAAAACAGATTCAAACCTTGATAGATGCACTTGCAGCAATACTGCAAATTCCACCAAATATGTAAGTTCGCTTTATCGGTGCAACAAAAGGTGCCATTTCCTCATCTCTACGTGTTATCTGATACAAAGATGGGAAAAGATTAAAATTTAATTCCAGGAGAACAGCATATATAGAAAAATATCAACGAATTTTAGGTTTGGATCCTTTCCAAAAAAATTCTCATATGCTTTCAGAATTGCCACACATCCTCGGGAGAAAATAATTAGATCAAAATGCAAGAAAGCAAACAAAAGATGTCTCATCCTTTTTCTTCCATTATTGATCTTCTGCAATGCATTTCTGCACTAAACCAATTTCAGGGAGCACCTGAGGTTCCCTCTTTCAGTTTCCAACAACCTGGCTTCTCGGATATTGTTTGCAAAATGCAGCTCATATTTTGTATATCTATATCAAGTAGTAGTCTGCTGTATATACACAGCTTCATACACAAGTGTGCAATATATCTATGCACGATATCGCACTTGCTTATACAGGGAAATGTGGAAAAATAAAATTAGACTGTTCAATATTATGACAATAGAGAACTAAGCAACCTTTGTAATGCAGTGAGCAGACTACAAAAGAATGCACATTCAAGTGCTAAAATAAAATCTTTCATCATTTGCAGAGTCCATAGTCCACAAGGCCCATAATTTTCAAATGCTTATCATTATTAGACTTGTTAATAAATACCAGAATGCTATGTTGCAGTTAAATGAAATAGGATCCTCCATTGAAGTGCCTTGCCAAAGCACCAACATAAAGATATAGAAAAGACAAAATGATTCATGGTCCTTGTAACAATATTTAAATATATAGTAACGAATGTGAATCAGTATGCATTCCTGAATCTAATAAAGCAGAAAACCTCCAAAACATCTAAGAATACCATAAACTAGATTCTTTATTGTGGTAGCATATAAAATCAACATACCAGTAGCACCATCTACCAAAATAACACATATACTCTACATCCAAATCTTTGTCATTATAACAAGACTCCAGATCCCAATAGTACTTTTGCTGCCTATCATATCTAGATTTACAATTGTGGTATAGATGCGGTTTTCCACCCACAATGTTGATCCAAAAAGAGGAATGAAGAATACCACTTAGCTTTCTAGGGGTTTAAGGCCTAGAAGAATCTACAAATGCAATCAAATTTGTTTCCTAATCATGCAGACAGTTGTTAACATGTAAACATGTTTGACATTCAGCCACAGAACTAATACAGATAAAAACAGAAAAAATTAAGTAGTCATGCAAATGCGTATATTGATCCTTTGGCTCTCAAACACTGCATATCCCAATCTGGCTAGAATACATCATCAATAGATTGTCACAAAAGCTGTAGATTGCCACCTGTGCAGTGAGTGAAATGATGAAGTCATCTGGTTCTTCTGCATCTTGGTCTTCCAAGTACTCTCTGTTTGTCATTTCCTGTTTGAAGATATTTCCAATGCACAATTAATTTAAAAGATCTTGCTACCAACATATTCAAAGAATTCAGTTTATACACATTTTCCAAACCTGCATATGGAAAATAGTTTCCAACTGCATCTCTACACGCAAAACCTTCAGGCAGTCAATTGCCAGTTTTCTATAGTCTTCTGCAAATGCTGCAAGATTCTTGCCCTTATTTGATGTTATTAGGGTTGTTTGCTCAAGCCTGCATGTTTTGTCAAAAGTTTGCTTCATATAAGCTATTACACAATTTTCATTAGAGATTCTGCTTTAATTTTTCAAACTTGCAGAAACAATTGCTTCAAATGAAGACAAGGCATAAAATAAGCCCCTTCCCATGCATCTTGTTCATGATTGCAAAAAAGAGCATGTGAAAGCATAAAATATAATGAAAATCAAAGTACAATATAGAAGGCATATATCTGATGATGTTATTGTCTTGGCTTCATACAGAAACAGAGATTTGCTATTATTTGGAAAGAAATCCTATTTCGAAAAAGATTAACTGGAACATGGGTTGTTGAAAGCCTAGGGAAATTTGTATTTGGAGCCCAGACAAACAAAAGAAAAAAATTAATTTCAGATTATCAAACAAGATCAGGCATTGTAGCACAGTTAATCCCAACTAGTTGTTAAAGTCCATTTTCAAAAGTAGGCAACTTCACTGAAAAGGTCGAGTGGGAAAAGGCCACCCCATCATGTAGATGGTACCTGGACACTTCTAATTGAAGAACAATAAAATGACGAGATAACAGTGCCACCGACACAGGAAGCTCAAATTATCCAGAAGATCACAAGGGATATATATTATCTAACAAAAAAGTCAAAATAATTATACCATCTGAAAATGCAAAAATTATGTTCATTTCTTTTAAGCTAGCACTATCAGTTCATATCAATTAAATTCTGCGAAGGAAGATGAGAAGAATCCAGCATAAATTTATGTAACCATATAAACTTGCCTTTGAATTGAATCTGCAACATATTCCAATGAATCACTAAGGGATGCTAGCAAAATTAGTTTGTTATCATCGCGAATTAGATTTTCCTGCACATATAAAAGATAAGGTGTAATCCAAGTACTCCCAGTCTAATAAATATCTAGTAAGAATCTATGAACTAAAACTTCAGCTGAAACCTAAAATCTACCAGAGCTCATGACAGAATAGAATTAAAATTTTCAAAAATAACAATGACATCTTTAATGAGTTCAATTAAGCAGAAGGCTGGCAATTTTTTTCAAAAATAACAAATGTACAGTCTTTAATGAGTTCATTAAGGGCAGAAGGCTGGCAAATGTCCCCCCCCCCACCCCCTCCCCAACAAAAGCCGCCTTCACCCCCCACAAAAGCGCTTCATCACTCTTTAGGGATGAGAGAAAAGAAGCGAGAAGTCATAACAAATAGCAAAATAAAATTATGTACCTACCTGCTTGATAGGCCGCAAATTCAAGAACAACTCACTCAGTTCCAATTCAATCTCAGAAGATTCAGCATCTGATGCATCATTCACCATATCTGACTGACCAAGTGAATTAGGCAAACGTGAGCTTGCTGGATCAAGTCGCATCAATTTCTCAATATCGTGCCTTCCAATCAACATGTAGCTCTGCTTCTCAAGAACTGCCTGAAACATGACCAACAAAAAACTATATATATTGACCGATACTATGCATGAATGAAAGAGAGAATATTTGGCATAGGCTCATAGCATATAGAGGCAAAGACCACCAGTAGACAATACGATTTTTCAGTAACACTAATGACAAGGCAGGATATAAAAACTCCATATGCATTCCAAAATTGAGTATTATATTCTATTTCTCTATTATTCCCCCCCCCCCCCCTATTTTTTGCTCTATTAATTCCCTCCCACACCCCCCCCCCAATATATATTTTCACCTCAAGGAGACTCCTACTCTTGTTTTAGGCTCCCAAAAAAAGTCAAGTTGTGCGAGCTTTTAGTTTACTATGGCTAGTTGTTTTATGAAATGAGTTTGAAGTCAAATCTCAGAGCGTTAGCTCATTTATTAAACGACCCCAATATTATTTTCACCAAGAGACTCCTACTCTTGTTAGGCTCCAAAAAAGTCAAGTTGTGCCGAGCTTTAGTTTACTATGGCTTAGGTTGTTTATGAAATGAGTTTTGAAGTCAAACTCAGGCTTAGCTCATTTATTAAACGAGTTGGGCTAAGACAAGCAAAAATCAAGTGAAACTGAAAGGAGTAGTCATCCCAATTCAATCTAGGCTCTGTAGGTTAAATATTCAAGAATTTTCTGCTACTTCCCGACTGTACTGAACTTATATTGAAGCTGTAGACCAGATATTACCACTAGCAAGAATTTGAGCCTCGTTTCCTCACAATTTGATATCTCAATAAAATAAAATAACATCAAGGATCTCACATTATGATTCACAAGCACAACAATGATACTCACTAAAATAAAACCAATGTCATCAACACAAGCATTCAACAGATAGAGAGAAAAATAACATCTGGACTAATGCATTCAAAAATCAGGAATAAAATCAACTGTATAAATGATATATTACAAAAACACCATTGGAAGCAAAAATAAAATACTAAACCAGAAGTAGAGACGTACACATGAATATAGACAAACAAATCCCAACCACATCTAGGCTAGAACTTAACCTGTAAATCTATTGCACCTATCAATGTTCATATGGTCAATGCATCATCAATGTATCTAGTAAATAAAAATAAGCTGGAGCCACTTAATTAAGAAACAGAAGCAAAGGAAGCATGTTAAGAAAACCCTAGAAGCTAAAACTTGAAAGGAGAAAGTTCCTCCATAGTATGAGGAACTCATTAAGGGGAACATATCCAAGAAAAAGGAGTTGTTATCCTGATGAGAACATAGATGATACAGACAGTTACCTTGCTGAAAAATATGTGATAGAATTTCAACAAATTTACATTAACAAAAACTATCCATTAGGGCCTGTTTGGTATCAATCCTGTTTCCTGTCTTATTGTTGCTGTCGGGTAATAATATTCTGGTAAATGGGTGAAGAAAGCAAGCAATTCATTGGTTGCACCAACATATTTTTCTCTTATAACATATCATGTAACAAAAATAAACAGATTTTAATAATATGATTTTATTGACAATTGATTAACAAAAACCAAAAATAACAGCAACTCCAAATGTTTTCATAGGTAAATTGCTAATAAAACAAATTAAACAATACATAGGAAAAGTATAATCATAAATTACGTAAGAGAAGTTACCAAACATTCTCCTAACTAAATAGATAGGAAAAGCGAAACTCCATACCTCCATGTATGATGTCCGGCATCTTTCATATGTTCGTTCAAGGAAAGTTTGCACATATTTCACAACGTCACTAGAAAATTTTGGCATTGCTTGGGCCCAACCAAGAACCTAGAGTAAATGACAATTGTAAATTAGATATCCAGAATTGCATAAATGTGTGAACTAAAAGTAATTGATATAGCATGCTAAAGTCATTCCATGACGTACAAAAACTTTACTGCCAAAATCTCATCAAATCCCAAGTATGCAATAAGCTGCATTATTCAAAAGGACTGACTGGAAAAATAATACTTGCCTCTTTTGCCAAGAAATCTATTGCCAAAAGTCCCTGCAATACAGGTCGACCCTTCTCAATTGAAGAAGTATAAGCAGTAGCAGTGTGTGCCCTTGGGCGAAATGCAGCAGGACCTGCAGTAGTACTTTATGTAACTAAATTTTGAAGAGCAGAAAAACTGAGAAAATCTTAACCACCAAGTAATTTAACCCAAATTCAGTTGACATTCAATGATCCCTAGAACTGATCATGAAGCATCCAAAATGCATTATCTGAAAACTGACACGCTGGTAAATTCTTCAATTTAAATATCTTTTACACATTAATAAAGTTTGTGAAATTTTCAGATGTTTATGTAGCTTTTCAATTCCAGCTTCCAATCTTAAAATTTGAAAAAGAAAGAGCTTATTGTGTTAAAACATTTCCATGCTGACAAATAAAAACACTGATATGTCTACATTCAAAATGCATTATCTGCATACAAAATGCTTCTTGATTCTTCATTTTGAATTTCTTTTTCACGTTAATAAAGTTTGTGAAAATGTTCAGATGTTAATGTAGCTTTTCAATTCCAGCTTCTAATCTTACAATTTGAAAAAGAAAGAGCACACTGTGTTAAACCATTTTCATGCCAACAAACAAAAGATGTCCTCAACACTGATTGTCTACATGTCACTGACAATGTAAGTCTTGATGGTTGCATGTCTGTCACAGTTATGCAAGAATTTTCTAGTTTCAATCATAGTGCAATACCTTTATTCCATGAGACCAACTAGAGTAAGAATCCTACATGGTTTAGAAAGGGAACCCTATATTGGATGTATCTGACACTCAATGCATGAGATAAAAGAATAAAAGATGAGTTTAGCCATTTGACTAAAAGCATTTCTTTCTACTTGATAAAGAGTTGTATATATTAAACAGCCAAAAAAAAGAAAAGATTCATAGAGTATGGAACTTTCTTGATATGGCTTGCTGAACACCCTTCCGGTAGTCCACAAACATAGTTGGAAGAAAGTGGTCCTTTATAAAGTTCTCCATAAATGCTAGCAATCCATCGTTTCTGCAGATTATTGTTGAAAATATAAAATCACATTTAAGATTTAAAGAGATCCCATAACAGGAAAAAGGAAGAGAGGAAGTGAATAAATTAAATTATGATCAGAATCATGCAAATAAACAGTTAAAAATATACAAGATTACAATTGCCACTTTACATCAATCATATAACCAGCTCGAAAAACAAAACAATAAACATAAAATTCATTCACAATTGTAGGGAGTTGGATTCTTAAGCTGAAACAAGAAAAAAAAGGAATAAAGAACATTTTGAAAAATTTGTCATTCTATAACACATGTATGGTTGATTCAACTTTAAGGAATGCATCAATAGGTAAGGCACAGTGTAGGGAAGCCACCAAGGTGTATAGACACTGCAGTACTTAGCATCAAAAACATATTCATCTTGTGAAACTAACAAATTAACTAGAATCATCCACCAGAGCTATTTTATTGACTATACATTTGAGTTGGATAAGTTGCATAAGTGAGTAACCAATATGAGAAAAGTGCACTATTATCAACTTATAGATGACAAATTCTTTGGGCTCACAAAGGCAAACAAGGACAGTAGAATATAATGGGCCATTGTGAATTTGAAGATACTGGTATTTATGGACAAAAAAGTAGCTCCATGAAGCACATTAATACTAAGCACCAGCCACACAAGCCTACAAGGGGTAAGTACAGGGCTTTGCAATTGTTGGGACCATACTTGTTTTCTTCTTTTTCCTCCTCTCCTCCTTCTTCCTTTGACATAATTACTGGGTCAGAAGCGTCTCCTTCAAAAAGTATTTTCAGAAATTTGGAATAAACCACCCAATATACTCAATAAGATCTATTTTAACAAATAAAGATCCTATCAGATTTCTCCTAAACACAAAATAGAACCAAGGTCCTTTCCAGAACCACACAACGCTTCACCTCAATATTCTCTGGCATAAAATATCAGCAATAAATCTCTCAAAAATTAGCACTAACCTTCATGTTTATAATCCTATGATGGACCTCAGTGATAGTCAATTCTAAAATTTAAATATTCTCACATATTGTGGTTAAACTGTTTATCATGAGAACAAGTTATACACAAGAATTACAAAAATGATAGGATTTTTTGACGACAGAGAAAATAGCTTGCCTTGGAATGAACCTATGAACCTATAGAAATCATTACAGCAAGATCCTAGGCGCTCATGGTTATTTTGGCCAATTGATTGTTGCCAAATGCAGTTAGCTCAAGTGAAGGTTTTTTCTGTTTCAGCTCTTAAATGGATATTACTACAGGCACCTTCTTAATTCCAGAATTTCGTATCACAACTCCTCTGCCATGAGAGAGAGAGAGAGAGAGAGACAGAGCACTGTCCTTGGAGAGTATCATGTTATGCAACTAAATAGCTAAACTGAAAAAAGAGACATCCCAGATCCAAGAACAACAGGCATCTCAATGCAGGAGGATTTTTAAATTGCAGGCTTTACGAAAAGTCAGATGCATATAATCCTTCCTGGTGTATGGATTATAGAATTCAAAGGTTCCATAGCCTGGAACCTATTTTGAAATTTGCACCACTACAGATCAGAATCCCCAAACTTTTTTTCTAGATAAGTTACTTTAAGTACTACTTACCACAGTAACCTTAGGCATATCTCTTGAGCTAAAAAATACCCTACTCTAGGTTATATGACATGAAGCAGCCTTGACAGTTGCATTATTTTGTAATTCAAACTGAAAACAACTCAAAACAAACAGCATAGGTGCCTAATTTGCTATTTCTTTTAAAAAAGATATTTAGAAATTGAACTGCCTTTGACAACCGTGTGATGGGAACACATTACGTTATAGCTTGCTCGCAAATAATAAAAGGCATAACTCAAACCAAAAAGGGGCATGGATGATCCTTTTTGGTTCATGTTGTTCTGTACGTAATTAAGTTACCAGTTAAAGATACTTCTTTAAGCACAAGATAATGCATTATCATAAAAAGAAAAAAAAAAAAAAAAAAAAAAAAGTTCATGTTGTTCTGTACGTAATTAAGTTACCAGTTAAAGATACTTCTTTAAGCACAAGATAATGCATTATTCATAAAAAGAAAAAAAAAAAAAAAAAAAAAAGAAGAAAGAAAGGAAAGAAAAGAAGGAAGAGAGGGAGAAGATTTTAGCATTTATTTTCTCAAATGTTCACCGTTCTGGTCTAATACTCAAGAAGCAACTCCTTAGTAAAAAATTCACTCCTTTTTGGTATTTCTGCTGATATATTGATAAAAAAAAAAAAAAAAAAAAAAAAAAAAAAGAAAGAAAGAAAGAAAGAAAGAAGGAAGAGAGGAGAGATTTTAGCATTTATTTCCTCAAATGTTCAACCGTTCTGTCTAATACTCAAGAAGCAACTCCTTGAGTAAAAAATTCACCCTTTTTGTATTTCTGCTGATATATTGATGATTTTTATATCAATAACTCAAATTTCAGAAACCATCCTAACTAGACAAGCAGTCAATAAAAAAAAAAAGAAAAAAAAAATCAAAACAGTAGAAAATACAATTTTGACACAGATAAAATATATATATTAAACCAAATAATGCTAATTGCACCATCATGCGAACAATAATGTGTAATTGTTGAAAATAAAGATCTTAAGCACTCGTTTTTTCCCTTTTAACACCTCCACATAATTTGACACCCATAACTACTTTCCAATCACGAGCATATGAAAGATGATAAAGAATAAAAAGAGTAAAAAGGACCCCAAGCTCACCCGAGTTGTGAATACTTTTTTGGCAGCATTGAAGCAACCTTATCTGTAAACTATAGAGAAATGCAAATTAGAAATGGCCAAGTAAAAAAGAAGGCCTGAACAAAGTTTCAGCCAGAATCTGGGGCAATTTCAAACCTGAACGACGGGCCGGTATACAGACGCTGCTAGATATAAGCCTTGCTCAGGCAAAACAGTAGCAGACCCATAACCTTCTTGTAAGACATTTGGACCCTTCCTACTCCAGCCTTGGCGAATGAGATCAACATCTAAATAATGGATAATATGGTCAACCATAGAAATAAAAAACTCAGAAGGAAAGCCAGAACCCAAATAATTCTGAGAATTTAAAAAATATGTATACTATGTAAATACACATGGCAAGACTGCAACCTAGTTGAAGCCCCAAATAATTCTGAGAATTTAAAAAATATGTATACTGCATAAATACACATGGCAAGACTGCAACCTAGTTGAAGCATCTTAAGAAGCAGAGTAAAGAACACAAGACTTAGCCGCATGCATGTTTAAATTTCAAACCTTGACACATGAATACAGTACTCAGTAGGACAAACAACTTTGTGCACCCTTCCTTATGAAGTAACAAAGCAAAACAAAAATCCAATACAACAATCCAGAAGATCAATAATGCAGCCAGATTCACTTATAAGCTAGCAAAGTTGAAAGACACTAATGCACGTACAACTGACAGCATAACAGTTGGGAATTCTTCAAACTTGTATCATCATTTAATTTCATCGTGGTTTTTCTAATACCATCCTCCCCCAGTAATCATCCTGCACAGGGGCGATCTAAATATTATTAACCTTTATTTAATTTGCCAAAGCCACTCTTATGACTATGGCCTGCACACTGCTTGAGACTGTCAATGTTACTGCAGACAAGGGCCAGTAACTTATGCTTAAAACAAGTGAATTAGCCTTACAATGGTTTTGTAACAAAGTAAATATTCATCTCATTCAACTGACAACAATTAATTCTAAAATCAATTTTAAAAAAAAAAAAAAACTCAAAAACAAAAATAAATGCCAATTTCTTTATAAAGAAAAACCAATCCAGATAGTATTGTGATAGTACAGAATTCAGCATACCCTGGTTATGAACCGATACACTAGCATCTGTGAACCGAAAAGCAAAGCTAAGACCATCTTCTGAACCATCCCTGTCACTCAACAGAATTAGCACAGGACCATTACATAATTTTGCTTAAAAAAATCATTGTTGATTACCTTCTGTCAGTGTTTTAACATATTCAGAAAACAAGGGATGGCAAGAAAATAAAAAAAATTATGAAAATATAAAGCACAGCAGAACCATATAAGAAAAAAGTTCTTACTTCTTTTCCTTGGAAGGAACCTTGCTTGCAAGTCTAGCAGTTTGAACAGCAGCATCTGCAGATGCAGCTTCAGGAGTTGCTCGCAGAATTTCACATATAAGTTGTTGGCATTCACTCTTTGGCACAAAGTATGAAAAAAAAGCATTCAACCTAACTTGAATGAAGCTTACCAGAAAACATTGTCCACAGGCACTTTCAAGAATTGAAACCTAATATTTGGAAATGAAATCAAGCATCAAAATGCAACAAGTTACCTGCAAAACCGTCAAGGAAGAGCCAATGCTGTAGCCTCCAGTAACTTGAGATGATTCAGAGTCAGGGTTCCAATTTACATCTGTTGCCATTGACTTTGGTGTGTTCATCTCAACATTCTGAGCAGATTTCAACTCCAGCAACTCTCCAACCACAACATGATTTTCTAACCATCACAGGGCTTAAGTATGAGTTCTGATTTCAAAAATTAACACAATGTCAAGTTCAATATCTTACCAAATATTCGAACTACAGTGTCCAAAATTGAATCAAGAAGCTCCTTTGTAGCAGCCTGTGCTTTTCCTGCAGGAGCCATCACTGGTGATACAGGGCTTACTGACAATAAAGTTGCTGACAAGGGTATCCCATTCTGACGCTTCTTTTTCGGCAACTGATAGCTTTCTAACTGTCCTTTCACATAATGAAGACCTGAGGTAGCAGTTTGGGCAGGCTGACAAATACCAGACCTTGAAGAGTTGACCAGCTCGGCATGAGCTTTTATCTTTGAAGTGATAATGTCATGAATTGTGGGTCGCAATCTCTGGCTGTTAAAGAAGAAAAGCAAAGAATTTATGCATATTCTTCAAATATAAATCAGATAAAAACGAAAAATATATATGTTAATAGAGGCAACTTAATATTATAGTTCATACAAAAACAATATTTTTACGTTATTCCACAACTTTGTATATTATACAAACAAAACACAAACCAAAACTTGGGTTTCATCTCTTATCCATGTATATCAACCAAGTCTAATGTCAACTTAATAAGACTATATTTTTTCTAATATTATTTGGGAGTGGATAGGATTTATCCTTTGAGTATAACTTTGAAATTGACCTGCTTATGAACAAAATTGTAGAAAGGTATAAAAGCCCATCCACAAATATATGTGCATTACAAACCACCACACCACACCACAAACATAGGCATTATGAATGAATTCATTCAATATTTGGAAACTTGATTGCTAAGTGAGAAGTAGAATTTTATGCCTGAAAATAATTCTCAACTGCAAACCCTTTTTTTGTTATGATAAGTAGTCAATGAGCATTAAAATAAGGACACAGTAGACAGAGAAACTAGACAGGTAATGAAACCTGATCATTTTCTTTTTCCTTTTTCAAGGGGATAAATAGGAAACATAATTTTTTACTTGGAAATGAATTTCATAATCTGTCAAAAGATTCAGTTTTTCATGTTACTATACTTTTTGAAGACGTGAAAGAGTGGAGAAGAAGAACAAAACAATAAACAAACCATTGTTTCCAATAACAGCAGTTGCAGGACAGCCATTATGTAGTAATTTTTTTGGCCTACTATTATATGTATGTCACAGATAGTTTTAGGGTGGTTATCACAACTGAAATGGACTACTACAGCCATTATGCCTGTTATGGGACATTGCATTTTTGCTTACACTCAATACAGCAGCTACAGCCATCCACAAGATATATACCCCTCATTTCCACAAGCCACTTTTTTTAAGAAATTAATTGTGGCTCTGGTAGAGATAATTACAGTATGGCCACAGCAATCCAACCTCAATTTTCTTGAAAAAATTAATATCCATGGATATCCCAAGGCTATATCCAAATGAGAATTGTATGACTAAATATAAAACTGAGCCGGAGAACCTCTCTACAAGAATCCAAACATCTTTCAGACAAATAGGATTTTATAACATTAAATAGATAACCAACCATATCATTGCACCGGCAGCTGCAACTTTGCCTAGCATGCAGAGGCACTCAACCATTGTCTGCAAATACTTCACATGAAGTGGAGCATCACTCTTTTTAATTGTTTCCTGCATTATGTATTAGATCCAGCCTGTCATCCCAGAAAAAAAAAAGAAGAAAGAGAGGAACACCACATGGACCATAAAGCAAACCAATGTACGATGTGATACAGTATCATACAATAAATTCATCAGGAGTTGAATTTGAAAGCCAACGGGGTACTTTGCCATCACTGCCATTTACCCTCATTGTTCCATGTCCATCCAAGTTTGCATCATCATGTGCTTCTAAAGTACCCTCCTCATCATGGCCATCAAATGATGAACTGAGAAGGGAAGTCAGATATTAAGTAGGAAATAAAAATATAGCAAAGAATAATCAAATAAACACTTACGTCTTTTTAGCATATTCATGCATGCTAGCAAAATATAAGATGGTAAATATTTTCCAGATTAATGGTGTAAATGTAAATAACAGAAAATGAAAAGAATTCTTGGAAAACAATCACATAACTGAAAACTAATTAACCGGAAAGAAACTGACAGAACCATTAAAGGGTTTTCTTCAAACTAAAATAACCAGTAAAGGACCTTCCAAGTTCCAAATGACATGAATTACAATATTGTAGTGCATATGAGCCCTAACTATTGGCTCAACTGTTTAAAGCAAACTCCACCTATGTGAGCCTAGCACAGAATAGTAGGTCCTAAGCCCGGGGAAAGGAGTGGTACAGTAGGTTGATGACCAGAGTAAAACTAATCAAACCACATTATGTATCCTTTGATTATATAAAACACAGTTGTGATGTGCCCACACTAGGCACGTGCTACATCAACATCTGGTGTAGTTAGAGCAAAGGGTTCCATCACATCGCTGCCTAGGTGTAAACGAGTATGAGCAAGGGTCCTCACATCAAGGACGCGTGTAGGTAAAGAAGCTAGTCCCACCATATCGATGCCCAGATGTGGTATTAGATAGGAAAGGTTTCCCTTATCTTAATGGACAAATGCAGGTAAAGAAGCTAGCCGAAGAGAACTGTTTTCAGTTGGGAAGTTCGAATATAGGTATGTTGACAGGTAGTCAACAGAGTTAGTAGAAACTTTAGAGAGGAGAAAGGTTGCTCTTACGTGTTTGCAAGAGAATAAGTGGAAAGGGAAAAAGACTCGAGAAATTGGTAATATAGGATATAAGCTATGGTATTGTTGTTTGGAAAACAATAGAAACGGACTGGGAATGGTAGAAAAGAGACTCAAAGATAAAGTGGTGGGTGAGAGAATTTGAGATAGGATTATCTCCTTAAGAATAATATTGGGAAAACAGAGATTCAACTTTGTTAGTGCCTATGCACCCCAAGTGGGATTAGATGGAGCATCTAAATTTAAGTCCTGGGAAGATATGGGTGTTTTAATGCAAGGGATCCTAACTTAATAAGTAGAGATAGTAGAGATAGTAGAGGCTTTGACAGAGTACATGATGGTTATGGCTATGGCAAGGGGACTTGGATTTTGCATTGGCTTATGATATAGTTTTGGCTAACACTTTCTTCAAAAAAAGGAAGTCATACTTACTGGAAGAAATGATAAGTATATGCATAAAGATTGCAAAGTCATACCAGGAGAGGCCCTAACCACCCAATGTAGAATAGTGGTATTGGATGTGAAGAGTAAGATTGGTACAAAAATGGAGAGTTTAAGGGAACCAAGAATTAGGTGGTGGACAATGAAAACACAAACCAATAGCTTTTAAGGACAAGCTATTGAAGGAGAATATATGGAACCTAAAAGCTAATGCAGAGGACCTATGAGAAGAGATGCGGGTTGCAAAGAAAGTGGCAAGTGAAGCGCTTGGTGTGTCCAAAGAATTAGGGCCTTGACCACAAGATTCCTGGTGGTGGAATGAAAAGGTACAAGTCATTAAAGCAAAACGAGAGTGGTATAGAAAGTTACCAAAAGCATCAAGCGAGAAAGCCTATGAAGAATATAATAGAGCAAACAAAGAAGCTAAAAGAGCGGTAAGCAATGTAAAGCATTTGCAGACTTGTACCAAAAACTGGAACCAAAGAGGGGGAGAAGCATATGTACAAGCTTGAACAATAGGGAGTGAGAGAGAGAGAGAGAGAGCAAGGACTTGAGCTAAGTTATTGAAGATATTTCCTAGCAGATATTAACAAGAGATAAAGAGATCAAAGAGAGATGGAGGTACTATTTCGACCAGTTATTTAACACAAGCCACGAGGACTTTATGGACCTTCATACCTTAGCAATGGAAAGAAACCTTAGCTACACTTGTAGGATTAGGCCTAATGAAGTCAAGAAGGCCTTGAAACATATGAAGGTTGGAAAAGTATGAAGCCGAATGGTATTTCTATAGAGGTCTAGAAGAGTCTTGAGGAAGTGGGAGTTACTCGGTTGACCAAGTTATTCGATGTTATCCAAAGAAAAAGAAAGATGTCAAATGAGTGGAGGAAGAGCACTTTGATATAGATATACAAGAACAAAAGAGATATTCAAAGTTGTAAGCACTACCATGGTATTAAACTTATGAGTCACACAATGAAGCTTTCGGAAAGAGTAATAGCACATAGACTCAGAGGCATTACAAAGGTTTCAGAGAACCATTTTGGATTTATGCCTGTAGATCTACAACGGAAGCTATTTTCCTTCTAAGAAGGTCAGTGTATTGAAGAAAGAAGAAGCATGTATATATGGTATTAATTGACCTATAAAAAGCTTAGGACGAAGTGTTGAAGAAAGTACTATGGTTGGTATTAGAGAAAAAAAGGAGCAATTAGAGATATGTATGAAAAAATGCATTCACAAGTGTGAAAACAGTTGAAGGGGTTACAAAGGAGTTCCCCATAACTGTTGGGCTGTATCAAAGAACTGCTCTAGACCAATATCTATTTACTCTAGTAATGGATGAGTTAACCAGTGATATTCAAGATGATGTCCCTTGATGCATGTTATTCGCAGATGATATTTTCCTAATTGATGAAACTAGTGAGAGACTAAACCAAAAGTCAAAATTATGGAGGAGAACTCTTGAGAATAAGGGTTTTCTGCTTACCAAAAGTAAAGATGAAATACATGCATTGTGCATTTGGCTTAAGGAAGAAGCAAGAAAACGAGGTTAGATTGCACGAAACGGTGGTGCCCAAATGCAATCAATTCAATACCTAGGCTTTATGCTTCAAATGGGGGTGTCTCATAGATGAAGATGTTACTCATAGAATTCAAGTGGGATGGATAAAATGGCGAGGTGCTACAAGTGTACTATGTGATAGGAAGATATCTAACAAGGTGAAACAGAAGTGCCACAAGACGATGGTGAGTCCGGAAATGCTATATGGGAATGAATGTTGGGCACCAAATGCGCAACATGTTCATAATATTCATATTATGAAGATGCCAATATAGAGATGGATATGTGGTCACACAAGGTTGAACAATAATAGAAATAATCGTATTAGACAAAAGGTTTAAGTAGCAAATGATGCAGGAGCATCCAAGACTAATTAAGAAGTTTTCTTTTTAGTTTCCTTCTTCGTTTAGGATTCCTAATTAAATTAAAGAATGTTAATTAATCAGGAATAATTTTCATTTTTCCTTCTTTATTTAGAATTTAGCTAAACAAGAATACTATTCAGTCTAGGAGTATTAGCTAATTAGGTCTTGAGATTGATGAAGTCAAGGATGTAAACCCTTTTCACGAAGCTGGACCCACAAATCGAGCAGCACGAGGTCAATTGGAAGGGTTTCCACTGCACGCCCTTGATTTGAATGGTGAAGGGATGAAGATTGAAGTAATTGATCTTCATGGAAAGTTACATGTAGCAGATTATTTAGATTGGGGAATAACAACATTGAATTCCTAAATTAAAGTAAAAGAATGTTAATATAATCAGCCCGAATAATTTTCATTTTTCCCGCTTCTTTATTAGAATTTATGCTAAACAAGAATATCTTATTACAGTCTAGGAGTAATTAGCTTAGATTAGGTCTATGAGAATTGATGAAGTCAAGGGATGTAAACCCTTTTCAGCGAAAGCCCTGACCACAAATAACGAGCAAAGCATGAGGGGTCAATTGGAGGGTTTCCACCAAACTGCAACGCCCTTGAATTTGAATGGTGAAAGGGATGAAAATGATTGAAGTAATACTGATCTTCACATGGAAAAATTACATGTAAGCAGAATTATTTTAGAAAATGAAGCGGAATAAACAAATTGGACTGGGGTTGGGTATGAAGACCCCTAACGAGAGTGAAAATGAGAAAGAATTCTCATGTTTTGTGAAGTACTCAAATACAAATGAATGCTCAGCAAACAAGGTTCTTAAATGGAACCAAATCTTATGATGAGGAAGAACAAGAAAAATTGAACATATGGGTAGTAATCCCTAGTGAGAAAGATTCGTTAATTCAAACATGTTTCTTCTGACACACCTAATAATAGAACAAACTAAGAAGAGATTGGCAAAACATCCGAGAGTATGGTGAAAAAATCAAGGAAGATCTTTGGTTCTAATTAGAAAAGTATTATTTAGATTGGGGAATAACAACATTGATGGGTGTTGAAGACCCTAACGAGAGTGAAAATGAGAAAGAATTCTCATGTTTTAATACTCAAAACAATGAATGCAGCAACAAGGTTCTTATGGAACCAATCTATGATGAGGAAGAACAAGAAATTGACATGGTAGTAATCCTAGGAGAAAGTATTGTTATTCAACATGTTCTTACTACACCTAAAATAGAACAACAAGAAGATTGAAACATCAAAGGTGAAAAAACAAAGGAAGATCTTTGTTCTTTAGAAAAGTATTTGCTTGTGGATATTAAATATTAGATCGCCAAAAATAAATTATTTGATGCAAGTATCCCATGAAGTTGAAATACATCTTCAAGCAAGAAGGCAGTGCAAATAAGTAAAATCTTTGTGTTGAACCAACTTTGCTTACTCGGAAAAAAGGTAGATTATTTGAATGCGGCTTGTGATGTTGTTTGCTCTTGCAAAAGCCTTAAGCACGTGGTATTCTAAGGAGAAGTTTAAACAAATTGATCCTATTCTCATGGCTGAAATATCTAAACTTTTCTTGTCGGAGCTGAGTTCTTTTCAAACCCGAGGAGAATGATGCAGGAGCATCCAAGACTAATTAAGAAGTTATCTTTTATTTTCCTTCTTTATTTAGGATTCTTAATTAAATAAAACTATGTTAATTTATAGGAATAATTTTCAGTTTTCCTTCTTTATTTAGGATTAGCTAAATGGGAATACTTTTTAGTCTAGGAGTATTAGCTAAATAGTAATACTTTTCAGTACAGAATTAGAGCTTATCCTAAATAATATACATAGGACAGCAGCAATTAGTTATGTTCGTTTTTTCCTCTATGAATTCAGAATTTTAATTCTAAGGCCATGTTTAGTACAAAACGAGGAACGTAGTAGGTAATGGAACGGAATGGGGAATAGAATTCTTATTCATGTATTTAGTATACAATGAATAGAAAGGAATGGAAGGAAAAATTAATGACTAAAATACCCTTTGTTTTAATAAAAGAAAGAAAAAGTGGAATATACAAATGGTAAAAGATAAAGGACATATATGGCATTTCAAAATATATTTATATGGAATTGGGATTCTTAGGGGGTAGCTAAGATTCCAATTCCTTAATTTATTCCATAATCCATTGCCAATTCCAAGGTTTAATTGCTACTAAACAAGTTAATTGGGAATATAAATACCATTCCTATTCCTATTCCATATACTAAACATGGCCTAAAGGTTTCTTTGAAACCAGTTATGTTATTTTGTTCCAACCAAAATACCATATTCTGGTCAAATTTTGAGATTTAATTGCCATATATTCTTCCCTTGTGTCAGCAGAAGTTGGAGATAAAATGAGAGAAGGATGTCTGAGATGGTATGGTCATGTGTTACATACACCCTCACATGCACCGATTCATAAATGTGACACTTTGGTTATAAGGAGTGCTAAAAAGAGAAGTAGACCAAGTACCATATGGCTGGAAGTTGTAACAAAGGATCTACAGTCTTTGAATATGAATGAAGATTTAGTTAGGGATAGGTCAGAATGGAGACAAAAGAATTCAAATAGGAGCCAAATTTAATTGTTGTTGCATGTTTTATGCTTTGTTCTATTGATTAATATAGCAAATGATTTTAAAATTTCTCTTTCAAATTTTTACCATATAAAGTATCTCAAAAAACCTTTCACACTTTTATATTTTTCTTTTAATTGCTATTATTTTGAACATAGCAGATATTGGAACAAAGGATTCATATAGTCGACCCCAACTAGTTTGGGACCAAGATTTAGTTATTGTTGTTGTTGTATTACAAGATATTTAGCAAGCATAGAAGGCTTCAAGAAAGAATACAGACTCAGTTCAAGATTGACAAATCAAACTAATTTATGAAAATGTAAACTATGGAAAGTCAAAAGTACTAAGAACCAGATAAAGAACAGGTATAAAGGAATCTTACACTCCATCAACAGAACCTGCTTTGTATGATCCGTCCATCAATCCATGATTGTCACCTTTCATTAATCTAGTTCTGCGAGACAGTGATTGTGAGTTACTCATTGTAAATGCAACAGCTGTGGTGGTTGGCAATTCATCATCTCTCTCATTCAAGCTTGAGGCAACTGAGCTGCAGAAAACAATTAGAGTAATCACATATAAATTCAACAAAATATTTTTAAATGTAGCACGCCCTAGTATTTGAAATATCTACTATTCTAGTGACGTGAACAATTACAACAACAAGAGAAGCTTTATTTAAAATGTCATGAGTTTTAATTAACAATGTAACTATATAACCAGAATGAGCATAACTTGGAATAGTTTGCCAACCCACAACCCCAGGATAGAAAAATTTTTCATGACAAACAAACAGATCAATAAAACCAATATTCCTACAACATAGAACACCAGTAAGAGTTCAAGCAAAACTTCTATCAAGTACAAAGAAGAAAAAGCAAAAAAGAGGGGAGAATAGGCTACCTATATTCTCCTTTGTTGTAAAGATGTGCATGCAAATCCTCCAAAATTTTATAGAAGAGAACTCCTCGCAACTTTGTCAGCTCAGATCGAACATCTTGAAGAGCGCCGACCTGGGGAAATTTGATCGCACTAGTATTATACATGCATGATAATTAAGTTCTCCAATTTTCCTAAAATAGATTTAACAGATGGGGTTATGTCAATATAAAAGCACAAGTAACAAGTAAATTGAAACAATTAAATTTCTATAACCCCTCAGGCTTCACCGAATGCATGTGCTGACTGGTAATTCAATCTTCATGGATAGGATGATGTTGCCAGACAGAAAATCAAATAATATCTAGGGATATATTAGTAATTCACACTTAAGATGTTGAATGATACAACTGGTATTGAACATTGAAATCAACAGTATAGAATTGGTGTGGTAATGTATTGATTGAAACTTGATACAAATAAAGTTATAATGTCTTAGGTACCGGCTACCTAAGAATTAATGTTAAAGAAAAGTAAATATAACTTTAACCCAAACCAAATAGAAAATTAAGGGACAGCTCATCCAATGAGAATTAGGCAGGATGCAAACAAACATACTGTTTGAAGACCCTCTCGCTCAAGCATCAGTGCTGACTGGACATGTACTTGAACTGCTGCATAGAACTGCTTTTCAGCGATGAGTTTCTCAATACGAGAAGGAACCTAAGTCACCAAGAAAGGAAAAGGGAAAAAAACAAAGTTACTTCAAATCCAAATCTAGGACATTAAAATAGTAAAAAACATGAGCAAGTACAATTACAGAAAAGGGCAGGTTACAATTGGGGAATATGGGAAAACATATATTTCTACCTTATGTAAAAAAAAATTTGCTTAAACAGATCACCTAGTGAATCAAATCCACATTATGCAGGGAGATTGAACATGAATTTCAACACACCTTAGCTATGCTCTCAATTTGATCTAAAACTGAGATTATATGCCGCAACGTAACAGACCGATACCATAACTGATGCAACTGCTTGCTTCGGGCACCAAGGCGCTTCTTTGCTTCAGCCAAATCAACCTTTAGTGTAGAAATACTTTCTGCAGATTCACTAAATAGACGCAAGATCTGAGGGGAAATAGTAGAAAATGAGAATCCAAGATATAGGAATCAGCTAGTTTCCTCAAATTTCAAAGAAAGAAGCCAACATGTTCAGGGTTTTTCACAAGCATAGGTTATAATGAATACAAATGGTCCAAATAGATACTTAAGCTGTCAAAAGTCATGACAAAAATTATAACATGCACAGTTAACATTTTCACTAACTTCATTTGAACCCCTTGACACCTCCATCAATTAGATTCTCACTTTTTACCAAAGGCCTTAATCAGGAATTTATATCATGATAAGACACTTTACGAAGAATAAAAAAAAAATGAATAATTAGAAATATATTTGAGAAGAGTTTCAAGAACAAAAAAGAAATACGTTTGAGAAAATAGAAGATACACTTAATGATTCTTAAAGAAAGAATAAAAATGAGCCAAACCTCATAAAAATGCCAATTACATATGAAGAATTTAAATGTCAAGAACAATGGTAGACCATAAGCTATCTCAAAGCTAGAAGCTCAAGTCTCTCACCATAAGACATGTATTTATTCTTCTCGCACTCTACAAACTCGGGAAAGAAAAAAAAAAGCACAGCCGGTCAGCTCTTCTAACTGTGCCAAAAGACCCTCTAATGTTAACAGGAAGACTCTTGGCTTTTTGTAATTTGCATACTTAGGAAACCCATCACCTGATTAGACTTGGGAACAGGAGACACCCCACACTGCCATAAAATCTCAGATGGGAAGCCCGACTTTCAGTCCCTACTTCCAGCGTATGTTAATAGAACTTAAATCTAAAAGCTTGGAATTAAACCTCTCAGGCTAACCATGCAAATGATTAAATAGTATGGAAAATAGCAACTTCTGATAAGAAATCACTTTTAAAGGCATGATCACCACTATAACACCTTAGCAGGCAAATTGGTCCGGCACATATTCAATAGAAAATTAGCTCAACCGTCCACTACAGAGAGAAAAACAGAAGTCTGTGAAGGCACTTTACAAGCACGTCCTACTCCATTTTATATATATATAATAAATAAATAATGCTATTCTCAAAATTGAGACCATATCCCCTCAAAATTCAATTTCAAAGTAAGCCTCAACAATATAAACCTGTAGTTGAGAAAAGGCCCAGCTTAGGAATAAGGCAAAAAATGGTTCTGAAAGTATTTAAAAGTATTTAAACGGAAATGTGCTACTCCTAATGTTACTGTCCTTGTTTGGAAAGCTGCTTGGGAGAAGATTATGATATTTGACAATTTGCCTAAAAGAGGTCAAACTTTGGTCAATAGGAGCTATCTCTGCAACATTCATTTCATTGTCTGAGATGTATTTGGCTTCAAATCCTTAAGGATTAGATTACTAACTCTCAGAAGTTTTTCTGTTGCTGCAAAGTCTATTTAAAATGGATTTAAGCCTAGTGGTAACATGGAAAAGCAAAAAAAAAAAAAAAAAAAAAAATTTGATGACAAACACGTATATGAGCACATGACGCACGGCTTAGAATCTAGAACACTGGTGGGCAACAGACAACGGAAAACCGAGACTACGACCGCTGAGCCCAACACTGCGTCTCTATACATAAGAAGATCGGACACAGAGAAAATAGGTATATGGGAAAAGCCCGCACTTATCATATACCCGGACCTTACTATGGTATCAACGTAAATTGTAATAAAACTTCAGTAGAGATCTGGTTAAAATGCGTAAAGATAAGGCATCAAAATGAAAAATCCCTCTCAGGCACGATGAAATTATACCAATGAGCCATGATTATATAATAGAGTAGATGGGAGCAAGAAGTAAGACAATCTGACTATAAGTAAATCACTTTTAACGGCCAGTATCTTGCTTACCTACTATAACAACCTTGTGTAAAGCAGAACCAAATTGGGCCGGTGAACACATATATCAATAGTAAAATTTAGGCGCGAACCTCAGATCCACATGTAACAGAGAGAAAAGACCCATAAGAAGTCTGTGAAGGTCAACGCTACAAACAGTTGTGCCCTACCTAGCGGTGGGCCCATTTTATATATATAATAGCTTGAATATCAAACAACTAATTGTAAAGACTTAAAATTAGATAATCCTGGGGGAACTTTATGCACATTTCACTCAAAAATTGACGACCATAAATGCCCTCATCCAAAGCTTGTCATAAGGTTCCTTTTCAATATAGTAAGTTCCTGAAAGCGAGAGATATTAATACATCCCTGTAGTTGAAGGAAACTGAGCCTCGAGAGACTTTAGGTAGAAGAAAGGCGAAAAAATTTAAGGTTACGTGAGAAAAGAGGAGTATAAAAAAGTATTAAAACGGAAAATGTGCTACTCCTACAAGAATTACTTGTAACCTTAGTGTTATAAGCTGCCTTAATGGAGTGAGAAAGAAGTAGTTTAGTCCTGATAAATATTTCTCTGACAATTTTGCCTAAAGAGGGTCAACTACTGTTGTCTTATAGAGGTAGCTATCGTAAATGCAAACATGTCATATGAATTTCCATTGCCCCTGAGGATCCCTCAATAATTTTCATTGGCTCCAAATCTTTAAGCGATTAGATTGACTAACTCTCAAAAGAGAGTTTTTCTGTTGCTGGCAATAGTCTTATTTTATAAAATGGCCCACATTTAAGCCCTAAGTGGTAACATGGCATAAAGCCAAAAAAAAAAAAAAAAAAAAAAAAAAATGTATAAGGTCTTAAATCATTCTGATACTCATAAGATGCAAGCAGAAAAGAAGAGAACTAACTTAGGGAGTTATAGCACGCATCAATTGTCCATTAAAGTGATTATAAATATAAACGATAGAGAACTATGGGCTTTCCTATAGGTCAAGTCAATTATTATTGGATACTAAAGTTTATATCCTACACACCATCATTTTCTAAGATTAAGATGTAGTGAGATTTTTCATATCAAAGACCAAAAAGGCCACCGCACTTCCACACAATCTGTCCCCATTTCTACAAATATTGCGATTGTACATGAATTTATGCGTAATGTGGTTCTCTCCAGCACGAAAAGCCAGAGATAAAATTTCAATTGACCTTCAAACAAATGTTTTACATGAAGATACGTAGTTGCCGAAGCTTTAAAAAAAACACCCAAAAAAAAAAAAAGTGTTAAGAACAATTGGTTAAAAAATAAATACACATATAATACAATCTAAGGTCACAGAATTGTTAACTAATTGAGACTAATATATCTCCACAATCCTATAAATCCTCTGTAGGTAAAAGAGGTGAAATTATCAAGAATTATAAGACTTTCTATTTTAGCTAATCCTAAGTAAGAGCAAGTAATGTAATAACAACCCAAGCTCCTTTGGCTTTTCATCATGGAAGCTAAAAAGAAGTCTGGATTTGACTAATTGTCATATCAAAAAAAAAAAAAAAAAAAAAAAAAAATTTAAGGTTTAATCATTCTGTATCTTGATGAGCAGAAAAGAAGAGACTTTAGGAGGTATGCCATTGTCATTAAGGATTATAAATATACGATAAACTTTGGGTTCATTAGTCAGCAATTTAGGATAACATAATTCCATCATTTTTCTAAGTAAGATAATTTTCATATCCAACATAGGCCACCACTCCAAATCTGTCCTTTTATAGCATTTATTATCTTTGGTTCTCAAACGAAAAGCTAGAGATAAAATTTCATTGACTTCAACATGTTTTACATGAAGATAAGTATGCATAGCTTTAGATTAAGACAATTTAAATAAATAAATAAATAAATAAGTTAAGAGGTTAACTAATTAACTTTCATATTCATTTCTCTGTAGGTAAAAGAGGTAAATTATCAAGAATTATAGATTTCTATTTTAGCTAATCCTAAGAAGAGCAAGAGTAATCAACTTGTCACTTGGCTTTTATCATGGAGCTTAAGAAGCTATTACTAATACAAAGAGATTAGCTGAAATTTTGTTACTGTAGTTGCATCTACTTTTCATAGAATATTTTGGAACCAAAAATCATAAGATTTTATTAGTGAGTTCTGAGCTCAATGGATAACATTACCAAAAACAGAAAAAGCCAATGACATGTGTTGTTAGCATCTCCAAACATGGTAAGAAAATCCAATTACAATTTTCAAAATATAATTAGTTAATGATGCGAACAGCATGTGTTCCACCACACAAAGCATATGAATTTTTTATTTTTAAGAACACACTAATCAATAACTAATACATTTAGAAAAGAACAAGCAGAAAAAAGGAAAAGCGGATACAGTGATGCAAGACATTGATAAACAAATTCAGAAAAGTTGAACAAAGACTTGTTACTAAAATTAATCAAGAAGAAGAATTTTAAGATACCTGAGAATAATTTTGAATTGCTTTGTTGAAGCCACCATGATAAGCATGCACAACTTCATCCACAACCTCCTCAACAACATCGCTTTGTTCCTTCAAAATTCGGACTTCACCTTCACGATCTTTAGATGTCAAAATATGTACAACATGAGGCAATGAGTCAAAGCGTGAAGTAGCTGCAGCCCAACTCTCATCAATCCTTGAAAGCTCGTCCCTCAAATACTGCAATTTACCAAAGAAACAGAAAAGGAAAATTGACAAAACAAGAAGGAATAAGAACTCTAAAAACCAAGTTTACATAGCTCATATAGTAATTTAAAGTACCCAGATGGGATGAAAACTCATACCCCACTTTTCGATACAAAGTAGATAAATTCCAAGTTACTCTTCTAGAATAACTCCCAAGAAAATACCACAAATTTATGCCTCAAAACTTACTAAATAGTACAAACTCTTGATTTGCGATAACCGAGAATTTTCACCTATGTCATCTTGCCTTTTTCTAAAATTTTCTGAAAGCCTCTATTGAGGAGACTCTTAAATCATGTAGAGCTTTGATTAAAGAAAACAACACTTTCTTATTATGGCTCCGCAAGGGATGTCAACATCAAGTTCTCCTAGAAAAGATGCATATGACAAAGCCAAATATTGATCTCCTTAAAGAGATTTTTACAAAATATATAATATATTATTGATTCCATGTCGGTTTTAAACCCAAGCAACAAGACTATTGTTGGTTTGAACCCAATTCTAATTAAAATCTAAACCACTGAACCGGGGCATACAAAATATCACTTCCATTAAACTCTAATAAGAAATTCTATCAAAAGAGCCTACCTCTTTATCAGGAGGAACTGGTAATCCATCAAAAATCCCCATTTGCTCTAACTTCCACATTAATAACCGTTCGGAAACAAGCTCATTCCCGCAAACAACTTTGTTGCTTCTCTTTGGCTAACGATACGGTCTAAAATCAAAGCTAGAAGAGACACAAATGGGCTGCAAAAATTGAAAAGCAAAATGAACAAATAAACATCATAAACTTCATTAAAAAAGAGACTATTCAACCGTTACATTTCTTCCATAGCTTCAATTAAACCTATTTCTGCCATTATCAGCGATCCAGATCGCCCGTTCCCTAACGCCGGTGCGTTTATGATTCACAACGTTGAATTGGTTGATCATATTTTTCAAAGAACAACAAATCAATAATTTCAGAAGGAAAATATTACCGAATTCTATGCTTTGAACTCTTGAGTTGAAGAATTGATGCAGATTCGCGAAAATGAATTTGATTCTTGAAATCCGAGACTTGTTTTTGAGTGTTGAATCTTCGCTAAATCTTCTAATACCTCTGTTGATTTGTTTTTCTCAGAGTTGATATAATTGAAGAATTGATTGATTAGAGCGAGAAAGAGTGTGTACAGAGAAAAGAAAAGTAAACAAAACAAATCCGTTTGTTAAGGATATGAAGAAAATGTATAAAAAATGAAAATTAAAAATGTATATATACGTACATATATATGTATATATGTATGTATAAATCTTTTTTTAGAGGAAATGAAACTGTAAATTACATTAAATGAATTTTACTTTCTGAGTGCATTTTAATTTATTAAAGTGAGACACGTCTCAAGCTTTGATCTACTTACTTTAAAGTAAATTACTCCTTTCATCCTATGATTAAATTTTAATTTTTACTTTATTCTTTTCTATAATATTTTTAGGTTAGTATTTTATTAAAATTAAATAATCACATTATTGAAATCAACCAAATTATAATTTTACTTGTCAAATAAACAAGTCAATTGGCTAATGTACAAATAGAAAGTTATAAGTGATATTTTAATTTTATTTATATTAAGATTTAATTAATAGTAACATAGTAATTTGACTAATATATTTGCTGGTAATAAACATATTAAATAAAGACAAAATAATAAGTTTTAAATATTATTCACTTCTAAAAAATGAAGCAAGAGAATAATTTGTGAAAGATGAAAAATGAAAATAGGACAAAATATATGAAAAATAAGAAATAATAATTATTATATATATTTATTGAATAATACAATGTCTCATAGATAAATACTATTACGATAATGAAATAAATCAATATTTATCATACACATCCAGTAAATTAACTAATGTAAGATGTAAAGTATGGCGTTTTCTTTTATAAAATTGATTTAGTGCATTCATTTTTTTTTTTTACTAACTCCTCTTATTTTATAAATTTTGTTTTGTTAAAAAAAATTTTTATATAAAAAAATTTAGAATAATTAATGAATGTGTCTAGTGATGAATGGATAATTTAGAATTTTTTATTTGTTATTATTTTATATTTCAATGTATTAATTATGATATTAATATTTACTATGTATAAACTATTGCTTTAATTTGTAATAAAGTAAAAATTATTTTAAATGTTGGCTTCGTGGTTTGAATTTAATTAATCATTTTTTTAATACAATTGTTATGACATTAAGGGTATGTTCGGCGAAATTAGTTGTTGTAGTAGGTGCTGTCTATTTTATTAGCATTTAACTATTAGCTGCTTTAGTAGTAATAGCTTTTCATTAAACGTGATGAGCTAAATGTTACATGAGTTAATTTTTCACAAAACGTTATCATAATCTCTAAAAATCAGTTCAAATGCTATATTACCGAATAGTTTTTTAATCAGCATTTTGAGTTTTGGTCAATAAAAAATAAGTTATTTAAAAAGTTGTTGTCCAACAAGGTTTTAAGATTTATAATTCACTTTGTGACATAAATATAAGCTTAATTTTTAAGCAATATTTAGCATTTTAATCAGTAAAAAATAACTATTTAAAAAGTAGTTGTCTGACAAGATTTAATATTTATAATTCACTTTGCAACATAAATATAAGCTCACTTTGCATTTTCACTTGTCCCATATAAAAATATTCTTATATAATAATGATTTTACATTTGTCCTAATATAAGGTTTACCCAAAATAAAATCATTGCTATATATCAATGAGGATATCTAATCTTCTAAAACCTTAGTTTTTACTTTTTACTATAGATTAAGTGAAAGTTGTGCTTCTAGAATTTCACTTTCTACTTTAGGTTCATCCATATCTATTGTTGTATGAAGTTCCTTCTCATTGATAAATTATTTTAACTGTAAAATATAAAATTTTAAAACCTGGTGGTTTTAAGCTTTTGTTGAATTGCAGCAACAATGAGCTCCTGCCATTTAGCTAATGAGCATCCATCTCAATTAGAGTGTTTGGTTTAAACACGACAGTTCTGTATATTTTATAAAGCAATCAGCGAATAACGTCTTCACTTATTAGCAAATATCTATTTTGAGTCTGATATTAAGGAGTAGGGTCATGTCCCTCCTAATCTTATATATGTTGCTCTATTTTTAGATTTACAACAGTGAACAACTTTCCTTAAAAAAAAAAAAACATTGTAATATATTATCATTAAGGCTAAAAAAAAAAAAAAAAATTAAAAAAAAAAGAAATCATTGTAATATAGTTAAATCATTGAAGTGTCTAAAAAAAAAAAAAAAATCGAGGCACATGTCCTCTAAAATATCAGTTGTTATATCAATGATTTGATTTTTTATGGGCTAAATGGGCTTAAATTAATTAAACTAATGGGCCTGGTAAACTATTTGATCGTTTCTAGTTACGTGTAAACCGGTGTTATTCCGACCGCCCGAGAATAAACAAATGGCGCATGGAAAGCTTGTTAATAAAAGTATAGATGCGTTGGAAGTAGTATTTATCTAAAAAAAAAAAAAAAATCGAGGCACAGTCCTCTAAAATATCAGTTGTTTATATCATATTTTGATTTTTATGGGCTATGGGCTTAAATTAATTAACTAATGGGCCTGTAAACTAATTGATCGTTCTACGGTAAAACGGTGTACCGACCGCCGAGAATAAACAAATGGCGCAGGAAACTTGTAAAAAATAAGAGCGTTTGGAATAGTATTTAGTGTTTTAATTGAGTTAAAATATTTTTTTAATTAATTATTGTCTTCGGTAATGTCAATCTAGCATAATGTTTAGAGTTTGAATTGAATGTTTCATGAAATGTTATCTTTATTAATGTTTAGTGTTTTATAAAATTTTTTATAATGCATATGCCCATTATTTGTTTTTGCCTTGCTTGCTATGACTTTACCCTTTTTTGTTTTTTTTTTATACTAAACAATTAATCAAATTCTTATTTTTACATAACACTTTAATTTTAAACCGCTACATAAATAAATAATTATTAACAGTTAATATCTAACCGCTGAAAGCTACTGTAATAGCTAATATCTATTAGAACTGCTAAAATTGCCTAACATGCTCCAAAGCTAAACATTAGATGATTTAATTTTTATAAAACACAACTTTAACTTTCAAAGACTAATTCAAATGCTATGTTACCGAACATTATAAAAAAAAATGCTAAAAGCTACTAGAAAAGTTGTTGCGAACTCAGTATCTCTCTCTCTTTTTAAGTTGTTTTCAAGTATATTTTTCTTTAAATTTTTCTGGATAAATTATTCTTTTTAAATACTACAGTATTTTTCATTATTTCTCAATATAAAAAAAAATAGTTCAATAAATTTTTATAACACAAGTATTTATATGTTAAAAAATAATAAAAATAACAATATATGAAATTCAAAAATTAAATCTATGAAGATAATAAAAATTCATATCATACGTATATTTTTACTAATAAAAGTTATATTTCACGTATAATTATATTTTTTTAGAGAATAACCACATTTTTTTAATTGATAATGATGTAGAATTTTGGAATAATTTTGATGCTCATAATTTCATATTAGTTAAAAATAATTATAAAATTAATAATAGCAATATTTAAAATAGATCTAATTGAGAAAGGCATATTAGTATAAAATAAATTGCAAATACACAGTTTTTCCTAAGTCAAGAGTTGAAGTTACAATAATATAAATCATATTATTTTAATAGTGATAATATTATATTATTTTAATATATAGTTAGCTTATTTATAATATTAAAGAGAAAAAGAAATTATTTTTTGTTAGACAGGAGAAAAAATATTTTAGTTCGCGTTCTTAGAAAAAATAATATTTGAAAACTTTAATTCACCCATAAAAATAATAAAAATGGTATATAAAAATATGCTGATATGGCATCAGGAGTTACAAACACGTTATTCAACTGATGAAGCACATCCCTCCTTTATATCTAATCAGCAGAGTGTCAAATGTTCCATTCAACAACATTTGTTCCTGTAATCTTCACTTTTCATATTTTCCTCGTAAGAATTTCCATGAAGGTGATGCAATGACATACTAAATTCAGAATCTCACCAATAGCTCATGAAAAAACTAATTTCATTCAATGATTTGATTGAATATAACTTCATTGTATAATAATAATTACATTGCATATTTGGTAAAACTACTGCGAAATCTTTTACTCTGTCCGGTTCAATAAATTGCTTCCCTTGATCATGCCACCAATTACACTAAATTGATCAACAACACAATTTTTTACTATCACTCCTGATGTACCATACCTTGAAATAGTGAATTCATTTTCAATGTCTTCTTTGCAAGGTTGCGGATATCTTCTCGATTGGATTCAACTGATATTCGTACTAGTTCTTTTAAACCTCCTCCTGAAATGAAATCCTTGGCATTGTCCTCTACCAGAGATATTTGTGTTAGTAAACAGAGATGTAGAATTTCCTATAACAGACAAATAAGAAATGTGCACATCTCAACAAATGCATGCCACAGAATCAAGAACAAGTGATGCGAAATGTTACTACTGTGAAATGAGATTCATTATTTTCGCTCTTAAGTTTTACATTTCTTAGTTTCACTGAATCATAATCTCAATAAATACCAAATTAGCCATCACCACTTCTTTAAGCACATGCAGCCTAACAATTTTAACTCAAAAATTTAGAACTTATATTCTCCTTTTCAATTTGTTAAATTTACAAATCACTTTAGTTTATTCCTGTGCTAACATTGTAGCGGGTTGGGTAGAAAGAATGTCTTGTTATAAGCTTAGAAGACTTCAGTACACGAGAGTGATTATGGCTGAGGTTTGAAGGTCTCAAGGCCATCTTCTTTTGTACTTTTTCTGTCTAAACTCTCAAGTAAATAAGAGTTAGTATAAACAATGTAATACGTCCTTGAGAGGTTCTGTTTAAAAAACCGGCATTTTTTGTATGTGCCTGTGTTAAAAAATCTCTGCTCTACCCTTTCTCGACAGAGATTTCTAGTTGCTACTCGAGGAAATTTCTTAACATTCATTTTTCTAGAACTGAAAACATTTGGTTTCAAATTTTCTCCATCAATTTAAAAATCCTTATTATTTTATGTCAACACAGGAGCCTAAATGGGGAATTTTACCATTTTGGGCCAAATGACAAAGAGCAAGCTCGATATGGCGTCTAGTTGAAGCTGAAGTAGTGTTGGAGTTGGCAATCAACCATTCAAGAGTGCCATCCTCCATTAGAAGTGAATGACCTTTTCTATGCCCTGCAACAATAGTTTGTCACATTCATTGTGAGTAAAGATCAGTTGTAAGTGACCACAAAAATTACTGATCCACAAACCTTTAAGTATGCTTCGTGATTCGCATTTTGCAAAATTAGCCATCCCCCTTGCGACTTGTGCAATGACATCATTATTCTTGGATTTTAACATTTCCAAAAGAGCCTTCATGCCTCCATCTTCTTTTAGCATCGTATGTAAGTTTTCTATAGAATGGCAAATTATTTACATTGATATACAAAAAAACCTTCTATTTGATACATGAGCATGAGCTCTACAGCTAATGAAAACCTGTCTTTGTTCATCTTCACGCAAGATATAGAGAATGTTTAGCACATAATTATGTATTCAATGCAAAGAAATAGTAGAATTTTCAATGAGACCATAGTCCTAAAAGACAGGCATCATCTCACGCCATAGTCCATTTCATAACAACGCTCAGAATGTACTTTCAATGGCAATTAACTTAAAATGATTCCTCACCACAACCCCCCAAAGGGGTGGGAGCAGTTGGTGCATAATATTCATACTATGTAATTTATGCTAAGAAGTCCTGTATCTCATAAAAATCTGACTTGATTGTGCTTGATAAAACCTAAAACTTCACATGACTTAAAACATTTCTTTTTTCATTTTCAAAAATTGAAAAGTTATACATGACAATCTTTTTTATCTTCAGCAAATTGTTAAAATTATCACTCCTTTAGTCAGTGGCATAGCAAGTTTTGATTTATTATCCTCACTTTTTCCCAATTGGTTCCTGATAGAAAAATAATGAATATGACCTATGACTCTTTAAAAATTTCAACTTATTTCATGCTAGTTCTTTACAAAATTTTAGACCATATCTATACGGTTGTTTCCAGGGAACACAAAAACAGCATTATAGAGCTGTGGCTATGTGTTACTAGACATGTTCATGGACCAGGCTTGAGTTTGGAAATGTCGAATTTTCTCAATGCACAACTCACCCAATTCACACTTTTCTTAATAAATTGAAGTCCACGGCCTGCCCGCGAACAAGTCTAAGTGTTACCCTGTTTAGCATGCAGAAAAATTGAATGTCCAAGGATGTGACAGTAATACATTACAAGATCAGCTTACCATTTCCACATAAATTAGCTAGCCCACCAGCTACCATTCTAAGAGTTTGCGGATCATCTGTTTTGGATGCTGTTTTTGCTAGCAGCTTTGCACCACCTTTGCTCATTATTAATCCTTGATTCATTTCTGCAAAGATTTTATGATGATTGTAAATGATAAAAACTAACAGAACTAGTTCTCTAGACATCACTACCATATATTTTGCTTTAGAAAGGCATCATTAACTAATAAATTAATAGAAAAGAAGCTTAGAATATTTGATAAAAATTCTTCATGATTCAGGAGCAACAAGAAATCATGTTTTATAGCTTCACAAACAATAATAATAATAATAGCAACCAGCTTGTTTCTCTTAAAATGCAACCCATAGAGGTGTAATCTTTTGGCACAGGCCATGCCATGGCAATGCCCATTTTTATTTTACTGCGAGGATAAACCTATCTTATTGTAAGGAACTTGAAATATGAATAAGGCAAATTGAGACAATCAAATATGAATAAGGAACTTGAAGTATGTATCGACAAACTAAAATTATTTACAGTATTAATGATACTTGCCAATATTTGAATTGATTAATTTCACGTACTAGATACAAGTGGCTTAATCAATGGAAAATAAAACACATGAAATTGTCAATCCAAATAACTTCTTCATTTGTGTGACTACATGTGCATATATATATTAATTTCACGTACAAATACAAAGTGGCTTAACAATGGAAAATAAAAACACATAAATTGTCAATCCAAATAACTTCTTCATTTGTGTGACTGACATGTGCAATATATATATATATATATATATATATATACAAACATATATATATATATATATATATACAAACACAAACACAAACACAAACACACACAGAGAGAACCTTGGTATTTATCAATATTGTTCGGATTCAAATTTCATTTGTGTAATCTATAGGAATTGTATTGAAAACAAACATATAGTTTGATAAAATCCAAAGACGACCAAAAACATAAATTCACCCATAAACTTTGTCACTTTAACCTAATGACACCCTCAACTTTGAGAGAGATCTATTGTGCACCCTAAAATTATGAATTTTGGTAGCATTGTACACTTTTCCACACTAACAACAATAGTTTTAGGGGGTTTTTATATGTAAAATATTGATTTGATATGCATTTAGCACAAATTTTGAAACAATAGTTTCATATCTGTCAATCATCCAATAGTATTTAATTGATCTAATTTTACAAGTTGAAGTGTTCAATAACATTATTTTGCAAGTTGAAGTGTTCAATAACATTATTATGCAAGTTGAAGCATTTTATATGTGAAATTTTATAAGTTATGGGTCATACTAAAAGTTAAGGGTGTTACAAAGTTAAAGTTACAAAGTTCATGGGTGAATTTATGTATTCGGCCATTCAAAAACCAAAAATGTTATAAAATATTGAAATATTTCTGACTCAGACTTAATGTGGGCCTCCTAATATAATGGTTCTAAATGGAAGGAATAAAAGGCATGAACTACAAATGCAATAACATAAACAAGATATATAATATACCATACGCCAAAAGAAAAATATTTAAGATTACCATTCATTGCCAAATTGGCAATGGCCCCGGAAGCCACTCTGAGTATGGTAGCATTTTGTGAAGATTTCAACAGCATAAGCAATGCGTCTAACCCTCCTTCCTCCACAATCCTTTCTTGATTAATATCTAAGAATACATAAAACTCAGCATTAGAAAAATTCACTATTAGTTTTCAAATAGTTAAACAAAATGAAAGTCACCCTATGAGATGTACAACCAAGAGAACAACAATGAAAAATACAAGAAATTGCCTAAAAAAGTCAAAATATTTTTTTAATCCAATCAACAATAACCTGATGTCGAGGTGTCAAGAACTTCTATAGAAATCCAAACTAATGTTAAAAAAATACAATAAATCTATAATATATATAATAATATGGGGAAACACATGAATTGACCAAGAAAAGCATTGCCATAATTGACATTTATGAAAAGTCATTAATAAATATTTTTAATAATGATATTTATTCAAAATATAATAAATAAAATATGCTCCTAATTGTAGACATGTCTGTAATATATTTTGGTTCACAATTAATATAAATTCATTTCTTCCTACTTACCTTAAGGATTAATTTATGAGTCTTACTACAAGAGCTTTATTTAGTCCTTTGTTGCTAATCTGAAGTTCCTTTACTAATGATGTATATTTTCTTGTTTATAAAAGCCTTGATATAACATCAATTTTGGATGCATCTAGATAACTAGTGGCCTTGCATTGTTGGAACATCCAAAAAATATATTGTTAAGGACTAGTTGTAAATAGAGTTCTGTTAGGAGTTAGATTCCTAATAGGTTTATAGTATCCTGTATATGTATATATATGTGACTCTATTGATGAAAAATATACAACAATAATTTTCCACATTCTTTTACATGGTATCAGAGCCACTGGGCTCGTTATTTTTTTTCTCTGCTCTTTTTTTTTGCGTTGAAACTACAGGTAGAGGTAGTTTTTGGTGACTGCCAGTCTAGGTCACCCACATAGGCTGGTGTTTTTGTCTCACCGCCACCCTAGGAAGAAGGCCAGGCCGCCGATCGGCTCTCCCTCCGAATCCGGTCACCGGAATCCCCGCGAGTGGGCTTCACGCGCCACTCGAAAGTTTCTGCCCTTCTTCACGCGCCGGCGCGTGAGGGCGCGTCCGGCCATCTTCGGTCACCGGCTCCAGTTTCCGGCGTCAATTCTGCCAGTATAGTGCAACCCAGTGTGTTGCGTCGGCTCTTTCCGGCGTCAATTCCTGCCAGTATACGTGCAACCCAGTGTGTTGCGTCGGCTTCTCTTTGATTTGTGTGTTTTTTGTGCTGCACCTTTGCTTCTGCCTTGCCGGGTACAGTCTGAATTTGTGAAATTTATATTGTGCTTGCTGCCTATTTGCTATTCTGCTATCAAGTTACCAAGAATTGTGGTTTTCCTGTGTTACATTTGTTTTTGAGCGTTTCATCACAAATCATGGAGACTTCATAATCGAAACCTGTCATCACTGATGTGGTGCCATTACTGAATAGAATAACGGAATACAAACTTACTGGCTCCAATTTTCTGGCATGGAGTAAAACAGTTCGCATATATTTTCGTAGTTTGGATAAGGATGACCACTTGACCAATGATCCACCTGAAGGAGCTGCTAGGCAAATCTGGCTTAGAGAGGATGCTCGATTATTTTTACAGCAGGATGCTCGATGTATTTTTAGCAGCTTCGGAATTATTTTTACAGCTTCGGAATTCGATTGACGGTGAGGTAATTGGTTTAATTAATCATTGTGAGTTTGTTAAGGAACTGATGGATTATCTTGAATTTTTGTACTCGGGAAAAGGTAATCTATCCTATATGTATGAGGCCTGCAAAGGATTTTATCGAGCCGGCCAGCAAGATAAACCCCTCACAGCTTATTTCATGGAATTTAAGAAGATTTACGAGGAACTTAATGTTTTATTCCCATTTAGCTCCGATATTAAGGTTCAACAGACTCAGCGAGAACAATTGGCTGTAATGAGTTTTCTTGCAGGTCATGCTCCGACTTTTGAAATGCCAAATCACAGGTTCTTTCAGGCAGTGATGTTACCTCTCTTCAGGAGACTTTTGCTAGATTACTACGTACTGAAGGTTCTCATACCCCTTCCGCTTATGATAATAGTGCCCTTGTGAGTTGTAATCAAATAGTTAGACAGCCAGGAAACAGAGGAAGAGGAGGACATAACCGTAGTAATGGACTAATTAATCAGGAGGCAAGCAGTCTTATCTGCCGTTATTGCCATGAACCTGGTCACACTAAACGATATTGTAAGAAACTGCTAAATAAGCCCCCAAGGGCAAATATGGCCACTCAAGATTCTGCAGTTACTTTTTCTGAGAACACTGTAACAATTTCTACTGCAGAGTATGCTGAGCTCTCTAAATACCGCTCTTCTAAGTCTACTGATTCCTCAATTGCTGCTGTTGCCAATTCAGGTACTCCTACTACATGTCTTGCTGCTGCCAATTCAGGTACTCCTACTACATGTCTTATATCTACCTCATCAGAGTGGGTCATTGATTCTGGTTGCACAGATCATATGACAGGTAACTCTAGTCTCTTATCCTTAGTTAAAGAACCTGAACAATTTAATCGTCATGTTACTCTAGCTGATGGGTCCACATCTTCTGTTAAGTGTATTGGCACCGCCAATCCCATCCCATCTTTTCCGTTGTCTTCTGTTTTTTGTTTGCCTTGTTTTTTGTTCAATCTATTATCTGTTAGCAAAATTACTCGTCTACTGAATTGTTGTGTTAAATTTTATCCTACCTATTGTGTGTTTCAGGATCTTTCAGGATCTTTTGACCGAAGCGGATTATTTGGTAGAGGACGTGAGTCTGGTGACCCTTTATCTATTTGGAGTAACAAGTTTCGTCACCTGGTTTGTTGGTGCTCTCTCTCCTCTTAAGGTTCATTGTTGTTTTGGGTCATCCTTCATTAACTACTTTAAAAGAAGTAGTTGTGTCCGCAGTTTCAGTCTTTATCGATTTTAGAATGTGAATCTTGTCAATTTGCCAAACATCATCGTTTACCTTTAGTTCCTTGAGTCAATAAACAGACTTCATCCCCTTTTGAGTTAGTTCATTTTGATGTTTGGGGTCCATGTCCTGTTATTTCTAAAACTGGCTTACGATATTTCGTAACTTTTGTGGATGATTATTCTTATGTTACTTGGTTATTTTTAATGAAAAATCGTTCTGAGATATTCTCTATTTTCTGTTCCTTTTGTGCTATGAAAACTCGTTCTGAGATATTCTCTATTTTCTGTTCCTTTTGTGCTGAGATTAAAACTCAATTTAATACTTCTGTTCGCATATTGCAAAGTGATAATACTAAAAAATATCTATCTAGTTCCTTCCAATCTTATATGTCACAGAATGGTATTCTTCATCAAACATCTTGTGTTGATACTCCTCAAAAGGGGGTTGCAGAAAAAAAAAAATCGACATCTTCTCGAAATTGCTAGGCACTTCTATTTCAAATGAAGGTCCCTAAACATTTTTGGGCGGATGTTGTCCCTACTGCATGTTTTTTGATTAATCGCATGCCCTCTTCTGTGCTTAATGGTGCAATTCCTTATAGTGTCTTGTTTCCTTCTAAACTTCTATTCCCTATTGAACCTCGTAGTTTTGGTTGTACTTGTTTTGTTCGTGATGTTCGTCCACAGGTTTCCAAATTAGATCCAAAATCCCTTAGTTGTGTTTTCCTTGGGTATTCTCGGCATCAAAGGCGTATCGTTATTTCTCTCCCGATCTTGACCGTTATCTTATTTTTGTAGATGTCACATTTTTTGAGACTACTCCATTTTTTTCCTTCTCCTATATATAAGAGTGAGGGGGAGGATGATGAGCTTTTAATCTACGCTATCAAGCAATTTCCTAGCTCTCCTGCTCCTGCTCCTGTTCCTGAATTTGCACCTGCTCCTGCTCTTGCTACAGCGTCTGCTCCTCCTATTCCCCCTCCTGCACTAGCATCTGCCCGCCCTCGTTTTGAACAGGTTTATTCCAAGAGACCAGAAACTCTTGACTCACTTCCCCCACCTATAGCTTCAACAAAAGATCTGGTTCCCTCCACTCAACCTGAGCCTGTGCGATCCACTCCTCAGTCAAACCTTGACCTACCCATTGCTCTTCGAAAAGGTAAACGCAAGTGCACCTATCCTATTTCCTCTTTTGTTAGTTATGATCATCTTTCTCCTTTATCTCGTTGTTTTGTAAGTAGTTGTTTTGTAAGTACCCACCTAAGGACTCTGTCTCTAATCCTAAAACTGTTGTCAAGAGCTTTGTCCCAATCCTGGTTGGTGTGCAGCAATGAAAGAAGGAGATGGCTCACCCTTAGATGCTAATGGTACTTGGGATCTTGTGCCTCTCCCGGCAAGGTAAGAAGCTATGGTTGTAAATGGGGTTTGTTGTAAATGGGTTTTCACAGTTAAAATGAATCTTGATGGATCTGTTGCCCGTCTCAAGGCTCGATTAGTTGCTAAGGGCTATTCTCAGATTTATCCCCTTGATTACTCTGATACTTTTTCTCCTATGGCCAAATTGTCTTCTGTTCGTTTGTTTATTTCTTTAGCAACTACTTTTGACTGGCCTTTACATCAACTAGATGTTAAGAATGTCTTTCTTCATGGGGATCTTCAGGAGGAAGTTTATATGGAACAACCACCAGGCTTTGTTGCTCAAGGGGAGTTGGGTAAAGTGTGTAAACTTCGAAAATCTCTTTATGGCCTAAAACAGAGTCCTCGAGCTTGGTTTTTGGTAGGAGTTTTGCAATGTGGTTCACCAATTGGGGCATGCAGAAGAGTAACTTCTGATCATTCTGTATTTTTCAAAAGTACTAAACAACTGGTTTGATTCTACTTGTGGTTTATGTTGATGAACATTGTTTATTACAGTGATGATTCTACAGGCATACATCACTCAATGTCCATTCCGTCCAGACTCAGTTCCAGACAGAAAAGACTTAGGATTGTTGAAAGTATTTTGTTGGTTATAGAAGTATTCTAGGTGTAAGAGAGGCATCTTCCTTATCTCAAAGGAATATGTGTCCTGACTTACTAAAGGAAACTGGAAAGTTGGGGTGCAAGTCATGCAGTACTCAAGGACTCCTAATTTGTAAACTTTCTATTGATGGTAAAGTATTTGATGATCCTGAGATTGTATAGAAGAGTTGTGGGCAAAACTGAATTATCTTAAACGGTAACACGTCCAGATATTGCTTACTCGTGGCGTCTAAGCCAAGTTTATGTCTTCTCCTACTGTTAATTCATGGGAAGCTTTAGGACATAATTTTGTGCTACTTGAAAGGTAATCCATGTCGGGCCTCCTTTAACAGTATCATGGGCAATGTTGGACAATGAGTGTTTTTTTTTCGGATGCGGATTGGGCAGTTCGAAGGTTGATAGAAGATCAACTCAGGAGTATTGGTATACTCTTTGGGGTGGAAACTTGATATCGGGAGAGCAAGAAACAAATGTAGCCTCAGCGATCGAGTGCTGAATCAGAACTATCGAGCTAATGGCGCAATCTACCTTGTGAGACCAATTTGGATTCCGTCAATTGTAGAGGAAATTGGCTTCAGTCATCCTTGCCTGCAAAGTTATGTGTGATAACAAGCTGCTCTTCGACATTGCATCAAATCCAGTATTCCATGAACGAACAAAACATATCGAAATTGAATGTCAATTTCAATTCGTGAAAAGATACAACAGGTGTTATCTTACAGGGCATGTTAAAAACAATGTGAACAGTTAAGGAGAATATCCTTTACAAGAGCTCTAAAAATGAACTCGGGTTAACCTATCGTTTGTAACAAAGTTGGGCCATGAGTTAGGACATCTACTGCTCCAAATTGAGGGGGAGTGTTAAGGGAGCTAGTTGTAAATAGAGTGTCTGTTAGGAGTTTAGAATTCCTAATAGGAATTTATAGTGAGTTCTGTTAGGAGTTAGATTCCTAATAGATTTATAGTATCCTGTATATGTATATATATATGTGACCCTATTGATGAAAAATATACAACAATAATTTTCCACATTCTTTTACATAATACATGATAAAGTATCCAACTACCAAATTTGGAGGCTAAGCAAAATATTGAAAGAAATTTTGGACTTGGAACCATCTAATTAATTTTGAAACTTGGTTAAATGTCTCCCACAAAATGATTGATAAAAAAATCTGTGGACAGTTAGTATGCAGAAAACAATTATTGGTGTCCTAGTGTTGACTTTTTTTTCCCTCATTGTTTGGAGTGAATCCACAAATATTTTCTTTTATACAACACGATAAAAGAAAAGGTGTGTGTTCAAGGGAATTCCAAAAAATAAGGAGTATGAAGAAAATACATGGGGGAAAACATAACTGTGGCAAAGAGAGGAAGCTCAGGAGGAAAGTTGAAATCTGAAGAATGCAGGGAGAGGAGAAAAAAGAGTAAAAGAATGGGGTAAAATGAAAAAAAAAAATTTAAAGGTTATGCATAAGTTAATTAAAAAATAAAACAAAGATTTGATTTTTGTGAAGAATAAGTAAAAGTTGGCCCCAATGAAAAAACCAGCATACCTTCAGCGGCAAGATTAGCAATCACTTTCACAGCATGGGTTTGGACATCAGAATCTTCAGATGTTAATAATTGTAGTATCTTTTGCAGTCCAACTGAATTAGTGAATCCCAGTTATTTGTTGTCAGGAAGTCTGAAGTAGGAAATCTGAAGAAACTTGAGCACATATGTATGGCTTGACATAAATCTTACCTTCTTCACAAATCTTAGCAATTGTTGCTCTCTGACAAGATAGTGTCTCCTTTGAGGGATTTGACTTGCACAATCCTTTACAAATATGTTCCTTCATGTATGATTTCTTATCCTGAATGAGGAATAATGTTAGAAAATATGAAAAATATTTTAAAGATTATTAAAAAATGCTTAGTATGATTAACCTCGAAGTTATTGTCATTTTCATGTGAGCTTTTCTTTAGTTTGGTCAACTCATGTTCCATGCTCTTTCGTTGCTTTTCTTCAGCTAAAAGTCTTCGCTTCAGGTCACAAAGTTCTTCACTTAGTGTTGCCTTCATAAAAAAAGGTTTTGATATTTCAATTGTTAGTACATTTTCAAGGGTCTAACAGAATATAAGATATACTATTGAAGATTTCATGTTAATGCAATTAAAAGGTATTGAAAATTCAAAAAAATATTACACACGCCATCCAATATTACAACCAGACCATACCTTCTCTTGTAACAAATCTTTGTTGTTTGATTTCAAGGATCTGAGTTCAGTTTGAGTGGTTTCATGCAGTTGATACATTTCTTGTAACTTCACCCTTAGTTCTTCAATCTCTTCCAAATCCTACATCAAAAAACAAACTAATATTTATCAGAACTACAGGTGTTCTAGATACATGATTTACATAGAATTCAAAAAATTATCACCACTACATGCCCAGGTGGGCCTACAAATGGCTTGTGAAATATGTCAAATGCCTAATTTACATTGTCAAAAAGTTGCATCTCTTTCATTCAGCCATGCCTTATTTTGCAAGTTACAGATTTCAAAGTTTTTTAGTTGAATAAAAACAAAGTTGTCTTCAGACCTCTTATGTGACAGAATAGAGGAAAACATGTATCATAGAACTACAAGAAAACGGTATATTTTGATGAACAAATCATGATACTTGATAAAGAGGAACTATAAAACTCCCGAACTTAATTATCTTTTGGCAAGGTATACAAACTAGAAGTAGTTTGAAAGTACAGATGCATCACCATGTTGAGAAAAGCACAAAAGACAAACTGTTTAGCAAAAGCATGGACCCAGTTTATCTTTTTATTTTCAAAACTGTTTTGCTTTATCACAGTTCCAAAACATAAAAAAGAATGTCAATGTTTTCCTTGGAAAAGCCAGTTTCAGAAACATCAAATGAATGTTTTCCATTTTAAGCATTATAGATACTCCAAATCCGATATGAAGAATCCATTCAACATGCACAATTTGAAGTCTCTAAAGAGTAAAAAACATCAGCCTGAACAATAAGAAAAGGTTCATATTTCTTGTCATTAAAGGAGAAAAATTTATGGAAATCAAGCTAAACTGAAAAGTCAACTCGTTTGTCTTATTAAATCTTATTGAGTAAACCTGAATTGAATCCTGATAATCACTATGAAGCTTATTTGCTAGATCTAACTGTTGTTCCACGCCTTCAAAACGCGCATGCTCATTCTCTAATTGCTTAACTAGCTCTGCTATTTTCTTCTCATATAGCTGTGTGGTTTCTGTGAGTGCTTTTTGGTAGGTGAAATTTTCAACCTCATGTTGCTGCTACCAACAAAAAATGGCATCAGGTTTTGTTATTATTTCATTAAAGTTTATGGCAAATGAAATTTCTCAGAATCAATTCTAAATCTTAAATAATATTCATGTGGATGAAAAAACTCAAGAAATAAATAAATCATAATTTTATAGATTGATACACTTTCTTTTCAATTCAAAGGAAAGAAACATATAATCCCAGAAGTGAACCAGTGAAAAAACAAGGATACTTAAAATTAGAACTGGAGAAGGAACCATGAAAATACTAACCTGGTTTGACTTCTGACTATCATTTAGGAGCCTCTTTGTCATATCTAATTGTTCTTCAACACTTTCAGTCAGAGCATGCTCATCTTCTAGCTCCTTATTTAACTCTGCTATTTTTTTCTCATACATCTGAGTGGTGTCGGCAAGTGCTTTCTGATACATTGAATTTTCCATCTCATATTGCTGCAATGCAAAAACACCATTATGTTTCTTTCATTTAGATTTAAGTTGAAAAAAATGGAAAAAAATTCAGGTAAGATGAAATATTTATCAAAATCTTAAACTGGATATATATGAAGGTGGCAGGAACATGAAGAATCTCGAAGGAAATATGATGTATTTTTCTTTGTCCTTCTGATTTTAAGATGTCACTTGACAAAAACTGAAGTCCTTCCCAAGTATAGAATGCATATAATTAACTCTTAAACTAGAGGAGTATAAATATAATTGTAAATTCCTAACCTTAATCGATTTCTGACTGTCAGTCAGGAGCTTCTTAACTAAATTTAATTGTTCTTCAATGCTTTCACAATGAGCATGCTCTTCTTCTAGCTGCCTGTTTAACTCTGATATCCTCTTTTCATACATCTGAGTGGTTTCAGCTAGTGCTTTCTGATAGGCAGAATTTTCCAGCTCTTGCTGCTACTAACAATCAAAACAACAGCACAAGTACTTACTTTCAAATGGGTCAAATTGTTTGCAAATTAAAAAACTGATTAGGTGTTACTAGCTTTAATTACTTTATCAAATGAATAAATGTAATTCTAAAAATATATGAGGCCTGAACCACAGTAAGTGATTTCTGAAAAATAAACTGATTAGATAAACTGATTAGGTGTTAGCTAGCTTTAACTACTTTATCGAATGAATAAATGTGATGCTATTATATAAAAGGCTTGAACCACATCAAGTGATTTCTGAAGAAATAAACTGATTAGGTGTTAGCTAGCTTTAACTACTTTATCGAATGAATAAATGTGATGCTATTATATAAAAGGCTTGAACCACATCAAGTGATTTCTGAAGAAATAAACTGATTAGGTGTTAGCTAGCTTTAAGTACTTTATCAAATGAATAAATGTGATGCTGTTATATAAAAGGCTTGAACCACATTGAGTGATTTCTGAATAGGCTTTTCTTGTTCCTGCATATATAACAGTGAAAATTTTCTCAAGAAAAAGTTGAAATTGAATCATCAAAACATGATAGGTGCCACATTACTAGAAGTGCATATTTTATAAAAATGTATAAATAAACGAACCAAGCAAGGTCCAACTCAATCATGAAAGTACCTGGCTATGTTTTAAACTCATTTCTAGCAATTCAATTTTGTTATGCATCAAATCATTCTGGTCCTTTAGATGGTCCAATTCATTTAACATGTCCTTCATCTTCAGTTCCAGTCCAGTATTTTCCTTCTCTATAAACTGTAAGGCAATGAAAATTTAAGGAAACGGAAGAATACTATTGAAATAAATATTTGGATAGAGAATAAATGTAGCCAGAATAAGGTGTTTGATTATAATGAAAGAAAGTAAGAACTATCTAGACATAAATAACTTTTAATTCATGACTTGCAATAAAAAGATATATAAATCTTCAGGGCAATGAACAATAAGAAACGATATGCAAGCTAGATAGACAACTACCTCGGACCTTGTGACTAGGTTTTTTTTTGTTTGAGCAAAAGACTCTTCACATTCTTTGAGCTGTTTTTCCAAGTCATATTTTACATTCTCTCTCAACTTCTGCTCCCTATCTATTTCTGCAGCAAGCTGATCTACCTGAGTCTGAAGTTTCCGACATTGACTTTCATAATCATATTCTTCTTTAAGCTTTACCATGTTCACTATTTTCATTGCCTGTAAAAAAGAACGGTTTAGGCTTTTGGGGTAAGTCCATCTTAACATGGAACTGCACAATAAAAATAACATGCAATGGTAGCCAAAATTGGAGAATTTACATGAGAAAACCATCATTAAACTTGAGTACTATTAGAATAGCATCATCGCATTTAAATATCAGACGAGAAGATGAAAGAAATTTATTTTATATATAAATATATGTTACAAAATTTTCTAACTCCATTCAACCTTAGAACCACCTAACTAATATTTTTGGAGAGCCTAGTGATAGGCAAACTTTTGCAAAGTAGCAGACTGAAGCCAGAATGAATTAACACTCAGAACACTTTCTATTTTATGACCTTTCCATGTACGATTACAAGCTGTGAATGGCTTTATGTTGCTATAAAATATGCATGTTAAGAATCCCACATAGACTAAATACCAAATCCACAAAGGCATATAAGGGTGGCAAGCTAAGCTAGCTAATTGGATGTTAAGAATCTCACATCGACTAAATACCAAATCAACAAAGGCATATAGGGGTGGCAAGCTAAGCTAGCTAATTGGTTAGTACTAACCTTTTAACATTAGTTGGTCCAAGCCCAAGTAAGCTTACATCACACATTTTCACCTCTTACCCAGTTCACCTCTACCCTTTCAATTTGTAATAATGCAAAACTCTCCAAATCAGCTCATCATGGTAGATACTTGTGCTCTTTTTTTTTTTTTTTTTATCTGTGCCCTCTTTTTTTTTTTTTTTTTTTTTTTTTTTCTAGATTTCAGACAATTTCATACACCATGCCAAGTCTACCACTACATTCTAAAAAAGACAGGACATCCGCATTATTCAAGGACTGAGGATTCACCAGGAAAATACATCCCCCATAGCCTAGAATAACACACTAACCAACAACATGAATAGCAGATCGATTTCCCAGCTATGCCAATCTCAGTGTTGCCTCTCTCCATTTCAAATTAACACACTATGTTGCATTCCCTTCAATAAATCATAGATAAACAAGATGTAGAACTAATCCCTCATTTACACAATTGAAACAGGACAAATTTACAGTTTAAGTAGGACATTGCATTTAATTAAATTCAATGAAAGTAAACCGTGCAAACTTTGTTAATAATAAAATATGCCTATTTCATGTTGACTTTTCTCTAACATTAGTGCAATTGCATCCAAAGACCAAATTTGCAACTCAGTTAAGTCTTAAATCAGCATTAAGTTTCAAGGATTTGTGTCCACAAAAAAAAAAAAAAGTGGAGTATACATGGCATTCCTAATAACATTAAAACATCCATAACCATATACTTGCACAATTATTGAAGGATCAAATATCAAAGTGATTAAATTGTGAGACGCAGTAGAATTCCCAAATGATAAAATATACTCTTTAATATTTATGACTCACCCGTTGCCCAAACATAATTGTGCTAGTTGTCTCTGCATGATGCCTTAAAGATGGCCCAATTGTTATTATAAGTGAAGTCCTCGCAGAGCCTATTTAATTGGAAGGAAAAGTGATTTCCAGGAGAAAATTGAGAAAAAAATTTAAGATAATAATTCATCTGAAAAGAATAGAGTACTTGCAATGTATCAGTACCCATTGTGGCACTCAAATGTCAAATGCCCAAACAATAAGTCAAAGGATGTTATTCATCCACTTGCACACAGGATATATAATGTGATAAAACAGTGTAATCATGAAGGTATTACAAAACAGAATATCGACGTATCAATATCCTAGAAAACCAAAAATAGTTGATATGACATGAAGTTGCATTGGAGATAGCTTATGTGAATCCTGAAATTTCATATAATCATGTTCAACATGAAAAGCAAAAACTGAGACAGAAAGCATAAAGGAAGGATTAGAGAGATTGACCTCCAAATGAATCACGCAGCAATCTGGTCAACTTAGAATCCCTTGTGGGTATATGTGGACTATTTTCAGCTAATGCATTTATACATTTGCCAAGAGACGTGAGAGAAAGATTAATAAATTTGGCCTCTTCAAGCATGTGCCCTTCGCTGCCTGCACAACAAGGAAAAATCTAAGTATTTTTTTAAGAACACTGGCAAGTTTATGTAAATTTTCTTATAGGTATCATTTTATGCCATTAAACAGTAACTAAAGGAAAATTTAAAAAATGGCCAAAAAAATGGAAGAAGTGCCAGGTTTAAAGTAAAAATATCAATTTAAGAATGTATCACTGACAAACCAGACTTATCCAATCTTTCAGATCCAGCAAGATCCACAAGCAGCAACTTGCTTTTTCTAACTCTAGGTATGCCGTTGATGCCAGGTAACTCAGTTTTTTCATCTTGAGAATTTATTTCATCTACGTTTTGATGGATGGATCTTCGTACATAAACCTAGAATATCAAATAGGTTCAGATAATTAAGTTCCGATATCATCATTAATGAAAAACCATTATGGACATACTCTCAACAAATTTAAAGGCACATTTACCAAGAAAAGCTAAAAGCCTAAAAGAATCCCACCATTAGAATTGCATGACTTCGTGAAGATTCTGTATTCTGCCTTGTATTTGCTGCATGACGGTTTGCTTCACCAATTTGCAGTAGTTCAAAAAAATGATCAAGGTCTTGAACTTGGACAATTGTAGCACCAGGCAATGATACTTCCCCAGTCCTTGGATCCTCATTAATAGGGATGTTAATCTTTTCTGGGGCAAGCAAATCTTGTATTGACTCCATATACAACTGGAGCAATATCATTAAGTGAGAATGGAGAATAATTATACATAAATAAATTAAAGAAAAGCAACAAAAACCAAATGGTATTATTAACTGCTTTACTGATTGCTAATTTGTATTTGGTTATGAGCATGAGCAAGTGATGCTCATGATAGACAATCACATTATTTCTAGAACATGAAAAGTGAAAGATAAAAGTAACGTTGACAAGTTATAACTTGTAATAAGACTATCTTTTAGCATCATGTCATGATACAACAACATAGACAAATGTAATACAGCACTCATACCCAACCATATCTTCAGTTCATATTAAACAATCAAGCATGCTAACATGTAACAGGAGTGCTTCGGCACCTGTAAATAGGAGATTTCGATGACATCAGAAGCAGGGCTTGCATTAGCAATTATGTCCTCCAGAGCTCTGACCATAATACCACGCTCCGATGCATCAATTTTGCCCAATCTACCAACTGTATAAGTCTTTCCAGTGCCTGTTTGACCGTAAGCCATAACTGTCCCATTATATCCACTCAATACACTCTGCAAAATTGCATCAAAATTCACAGCACGCAGTTAACATGTCATCCAACCATTAGCAAATTTAATTGCTTGTGTGACAATCATATGCAAAGGGCACGCTGGCATAGAAAACATGTCCAAAGCAAATGCATAAACATTTAGAGATTCGAAATGCACATTCCTTATTTTTAAAAGAATATGTTGAATCACCAATGTCTTTAGCCTACCCTACTCAATCACTTACGTCAACAACAGGCTTTGCCACTGCTTCATAAACTCTCTTTTGAGAGGCAGTTTCAGTAAAAATTTCATCAAATCTGTATGATTCAGAATTCCAATTGTTTTTTCTCAATTTCAACCTTCTTAGCTGAATGAAACAAAGAAGAATCTTGATTAGGCAATTTTCATAAAATTATACATGTAAACTGAAAAGGCCCATATATAAAAAAATTGCATAAACACAATCATAAAAAGCGAGTGCCTTTTCACTTCTTAATGGCACTATCAAAAACATAGAATATCAAAAGCAAAAAAGAAAAAGAAAAAAGGAAGCCACCTCTGGCTGCAATTCAACACAATCAGAAAAATCAGCATCGGAAATGAGTTCTTCAGCATTTCTTGGTCTTAGCCTAACAGCAACTCTCACTCTTCCAGAATCTTGGGCCAAAAAGGATAATAGAGTCAAGAAATCATATGATTAAGCAGTACAAAGAAGTGAAAAAAAGAAAATCATAAGCAAGTTTCAAACGAAATCAAAGATTTCTCTCGCATTGCATTTATTTCTTTATTAAAATTTTGAAAATTGCATTTTATCCAAAATTTTTTCCCATTTCAATGAAAATTAGAAAAGAAAAAGGTAAGAACAGTGATTTTGCACAAGTTCCAATAAAAACACTCAAAAGAAAATACACTTCCAATCCAACACCAAATCCTTGTAGAGAGAAAGAGAGACCATTGTCGTCGTCGGAATGGAGAGAAGAGTGAGAACGAGAGTGAGAAGAACGTCGTGAAAGCCCAGCTTTACTGGAGCGATTTTGGTGTGCATTACTGTTACTATTACTAATACTACTATTATTCACATTTCTTGTACTCGAATTCAAATTCAAAGACGAAGACAAAGATCCAGTAGAAGAATGAGTTTGTTGCTGCTTTTCAGCTTTGTAAGACGCCAACGACGTCGTTCTGACATTAGCACCAGAAGCCATTGGTTTCATGGAATCAGAGCATCAGAGAGAAGAGATAAAAACATACATTTTTCAAGGCTGGATATTTGGAATTTAAACAAAAGAAGAAGTCTAGAGAGAGAAAGTGAGATTGAGGACGGCACGATGAAAGAGAGAGATAGAAATGGTTCCCGCGTTGTCCTGTAAGAGGTTTGGTGGTGTAGTTGTCATTTGTCAGCGAGTAACGTTACGGACGGCAAATGTCTTTGTTTAGTGACTGTTTACATACACAGCTGATTGAAAGAGACTCAGAGACGATCATTTTTCAAATTTCAAAATTAGTTTTATGGTTTTTATTTATTAAAATTAATAAATATATATTTTATATATTTAATATTTTTTATTTTATTTCATTGGTTAGGTCAAACACATATCTATCTTTTTATATAAATATATAATTTTTAAAATTTAAATGCTTACGTGACATATATTAAAATATGAAAGTGATTGATATGATATCTTATTTTTCATTATAATTAATATTTTTATAATTAATATTTTTATATTTAAATAAAAATTTAAATGTTCTTCATTAAATAATAGCAGTTTATAATTAACTAATAAGATTTTCATTAAATTTAATATAAAATAAAAAAATAAATTTTTTTAAATAGTTCTATTATTCTTATAAAAAACAATGGAGTTATAATCGAGTTTATTTAGTTAATAAAAATAATTAAATAATATAATTATTTATTACAAATAGGATTAAAAATATTAATTTCAATTCACTTAAAAATTTTTTTTTATTCATTCATTAGATTAAATATTCTTTATACTTTCATTTAATTTTGAATATATGAGAATTTCAAAGAGAAAAAATAAAATTAACAAATATATCCATTTTATACTTCATTTAATTTGAATATATGAGAATTTCAAAGAGAAAAAATAAATAATTAACTAAATATATCAATTGAATAATAATAATTTGCTTACACTAATTAATTGTGCTAATTAATATTTCAATTCAATATTTGAGAATTTAAAAAAGAACCTATAATTTTACCTTCCATCATTTAATCAAGAGTACATAAGTAAATTATTTAAATTAAAGCAACGCGAATTTAAATTAAAATAATTTTCATGAAAATTACATTCAAATTAATTAAAAAGTAAAAAATTATACAATTCACACATTGCGCGGATAGAAGACTAATTATAATTAAATTTAGCAGTCATCTCCCAATGTTGTGTAGGTTCAATTAAATATAGTTCTAGTGCATTGAAGTTTACTAAATAATTGTGATGGTAGATCTTTATTATATATTATTAAAATTAGTAATAATAGTATACTTGTTGATAAAAATGCTCATTAAATAGAAGAAGAAAATGAAAGTATTATCCTTTTTAAAAAAGGAAAATCAAACTATATTCAAGAGTTTTTTTTAAAAAAAATTATAATAAGAGACATGTGAAAAAGACAAGTGAATTTAATTTTATAGAGAGTGGAGTAAAATAATATACCATTAAATGTTAATTATATTTGTGATATTTAAACTTTTTAATTTTTTCTTGATATTGAACGGCAAAACATTTGCAATTGGAATTTTCGAATTATTAAAAATGTTACAATCAAATGCATTTTTTTTTTTTAAGAAATCAATCAAATGCATTTGATAGTATTGTTTTGCTGAAAAATTAATAAATACCATTTTACTCAATAAATTATGCTCCATCTTTTCTCTTTATTTAGAGAAAATTTTCTTTTAGGTGTATTTTTATATAAAGAATTTTACTCTAAATAGTAACTTTGGGATGTAAATCAAGTTAAAAACACTAAAAAGCTCTTGTAGTATATGTGTTTGTTTTAAAATTGAATCACAACAATCAAGGAAAGTGACATAAACAAATATTCTCAGCATTTAATGCATGCATATTTCAAGAGAAAAATTATCAAACAAAATTAAAGTTCTGATATTAAAAGTGAAAATAATGGCCACATAAATACAGAGTTATCCCATATATGTATGTTTGATAAATAAATGTCGACTTTTATCATTTTAAATTTGGCCATAACCGTTGGCATCAGGAATGAATATATGTCATCCCAAGTTAAATTTTGAAAACAGTCACGTTTTGTTTCTAAAAGTGCAAGTGTGTTGGAAATTAGAGTTTGGTTAGAAACCGTTCTCTTAAAAATCCCTAAAATTCACCCTTTCTCATATAACTATCAGTAAGCGACGATTCAATCGACGCTGGACGACTTGTATAAATCATGACAATAAATAGATTAATGTGGACTTTTATTAGTAGTAATTGTGCATTTTCTCATTATCTTTTGCTTATTTGTTGTGCACTTCTGAAGTCTTTTTATGGCCTTGTTATTATTAGTTGTACACTTTTTCAAATCTTTATAATGATTGTACTCTTTTATAACCCGCTTATAATGGTTGTACACTTAGTGGCCTTTTGTTTTTTTAGTACTTGTGCACTTTTTCAATGGTTTTTATTTTTCTATGTTAGTTAACAGTTGTAAACTTCTGTAAGCCATTTTGTGATCCTTTTATTATTAGTTGTGCACTTCTGTAAGTCATTTTGTACTCTTGTTATTCTTAATTGTGCACTTTTTCAATTCTTATAATGGGAGTACTCCTTTTCTAGCTCTATTTCAAGGACATTTAAAGTCATTGGAGTTATCTTCAGGGTTCATCCTTGCATTTTGCCATATCTTAAAAACTGTCTTCACAGATATACCAAAAGTGGTTGCAACTTTTTCATAAATGTGCGCCTTTTAACTGATCATCTTTTCACAAAGATTTTGACATCATCAGCTATATTTTTCCTTTTGTTCTCTCGTCTCACGTTGCTTTGAACTGTAACACCCCTTCCCGGTCCACCCGTTAACCCGAATGAACCGAGTCGAGATGTTACAAAACTGGTTGACTAAATGTTCTAACATGCTGATGTCATCTAACATGCTTGTGTCATAATAGTTTACTGACTAGTTTTATTATTACAGAAGCTGAGATGACTGTAATGATTGGCATGCTGCTATCATAATGAATATATATATTATAATGACAAAAAAGCTGTTTACATTAATTAATGTACTGAATATAATATATAACATTATAGCGAGTGTACAAAATGGAATGGGCCAACTGATGTGCCCTGTACATGCACGCAAAGGATATATAAAGGTACACACAAAAATGAGAAGCTACCCTGAGACTGTGTCTTCTTACAGATGAACTGTTGCAGTTGTAAGATGACGCTTCTCTAGACCAACTGCAGCAGTTGGGACCCTCTACGGACTAGTCTCAAAACCTGCGAGTTAAACAGGTAACTCGCTGAGCAAATAAAGCTCAGTGGATATCTCAACATAAAACAACAATAAACACACATATAAGCAAAAAGCATTATGTAAGCACATATAATCACACATAACATGCGGCTTTCATTTTACCTTCATGATCTTTCTTACTGTTTATTGTACTGTATGATTCATGCAAGAGCAAGTTAAAATATCTGTATGGCTCCATAAGGTTATAGTGAAACCGAAGTGATAAGATAAACTGTATGAAACTGGATGAAACTGTATGCTATAGGCAGCCATGCCATATTGACCGTTTTTGGTGCCCCTAACCGGATTTGACCGCACGGTTTAATCATTCCACTCAAACGGCCTGTAGCGGAGTTCCAAACTGTTATGGCGCAGATCTGCTATTTCTATGTCGCAAACATAAAGCCTTATTCTACAAGGTTTCACCCAACCTCAATGGAGCCTTCTTATGCTAACATTCAATTAAATATAACACCATAACACATACAATGGTTTACATAACTTCATATAGTTCATCATGTTGATCTTTAATATTCACATCATGATGAATCGCTTGTATGTTGTTTTAATTCCATGTTCTTATGTTGTATTTTTTATGTGTTAAAATGATTGGATGCATGTGTTGAGCAAGGGAATGTATTACATTAAACCAAATGAAGGCAAAAGAGTGTCAACAGGCATCAGTCGCGGCGCGAGCATTCCCAAAGCATCAGTCGCGAGCGCGACATTCCAAGTCGCGAGTGCGAGATGCTTCCCAGAGAGAAGTCGCGAGCGCGTCTTCAAACCTCGCGAGCGCAAGAAATGCATTTGAGAGTCAGAGGGTTTTCTGGCTCAAGTCGCGACCGCGCAGCACACGTCGCGAGCGCGCTTGTGTCATATAAATGCTTGTATGTTGTTTTAATCCATGTTCTTAGGTTGTATTTTTGTTGAAAAATGATTGGATGCATGCATGTTGAGCAAAGGAATGTAATTACATGGCAAATGAAAGGCAAAAGAGTGTCACAGCATAAGTCGCGAGCGCGCAATGGGAAGTTGCGAGCGCGACGTGCTTTCCAGCATGCGCGAGCGCGCGACGTGATTCTGTGCAGTCTGTATTCTTTTGGCCATAACTCTCAATAGCTAATTCCAAATTGAGTGATTCAAAAACGCGAAGCTAACACAGAAAGGAACAAATAACTCTTCTATGACAATTTCTAATTCCATCATTATATGGGTTCAAAATCAAGATGAAGTTGCTGGTAACATTTTCAGCAAACTCTGTTTCCGCTTCATATATTCATCCCCTGTTTTCACATCATTTCCAGTACTTCCACCCAACAACAAGCAACATATCATCTCATTGGAAACACACCACACAATTTACATGCAAATAAAATAGTAGACAGCATGAGATATCAAACCTTGACGTCAAAAGGCTTGACCTCTGTTTTAGCTTCTCTTTTCTGCAACTTTTGAACTTTCTTCTCCTATAAGAATTCTGCTCATAACTCATCTCCAATATAACTCAATGAAATAGGAAATAACATCACACTTCAAGGAATTTTACTTACTTGCAGTTGACTTAATGCTTAACTATGTTTGAAGAGTGAAAGGAAAAGAGCGGGACAAGTAAGAGGAGAATAATGGTACCTCAATTGTCAATAGGTTACAACTTAATACCTAAGCTTTATAGTTTAGTGCAAGTAAGTCCTAATCCTTATACTTTGATCTTTTTATTTTATTCAAGTAAGTCCACTTTTTATCATTATTATAGTAAATCCCATACTACCCCACTCTGGACTCTAATGGCTCAAACCGAGTTTTGGTTCAACCCGACTCAACTCGACTCTATGCAACGACTCGATACAGTAGGATGTCATAGTTCTCCCCTTCTAAATAAAAAACTTCGTCCCGAAGTTTACCCGTTG